TACAACAAATTATAGCCAATGAAAAAAATGAATAAATTTGGCAAGAAATTTATTAATCAGAATTTTTTTATTTATAATATAATAATTGAAATACTTTATTTATTATTATCTATAAAATTATCCTGATTTTCTATTCCATCTATTATAAAATGTATAGTCCTCTTTTTTTTTCAATAAGATCCATTTGATAGGTTTTTTTTTTTTTTGATAACTGAAGGTCCCATATGTAAAAATGAACACTACATATTTTTAAAACCCTTATAAGTATTATTTTTACTAAGACCTTTTTAACTAAAATTTTAATGATCGTATCTTTTTTTCAAAATTAGAATTTACAAAATCATCATAAAATGCAACTATATAGTGAGATATTGAGAAGTTCTTTTACAAAAAGAAGAATAAAGACATGAATATTTGAATTTATAAAAACACTTTTTAGAGAAAATAAATTAAAAATAGGAAACGATTTCCAATTTTATTTGAATTTTTTTGAGTCAACTTTTTTTTATTATGAAATAAATTAAAAATGGTATGTGATTAGTTAGCCGAAAAACGGAGCCTAATTCCTGATTGCCGATCATCCGGACCCGGTTTAATCGCAGAAAATCCCTTGGAATTCCACGACGATCCACGCCTGAGCCGGGTCCGGATCACGTTGCGGCTAGTTATTTTTCGACTTACTACACTATTATGGTGATTAACAAAGAAAAAATTTCATCTATACTAATAACTATTAAATCTAATCCCAATTTCTCATTTCAATGTATTTTATCAATTCCTCATAATAAATCTCCTGTTGCGTGTTTTAAATAATCCTACCTTTGTTAAAACCTTTACAAAGGTCATAAATACCATTTTTGACATTTTTGACAATTTATTTGACCTGGGCTAATATCAAATCTCACCCATGGTGAGGAATAATTTTTTTTAAAAAAAAGTTAATCCCTAACCAAAAAAAAAATAATTGTTTTTGTCTCGAAAAAAAAATCAAAAAAAACCTGTTTTTTTTAAAAAAAAAAAAATAACTATTTTTTTTTGGTTACTATCTATGGTTGTGGAATGATAAGAAAAGAAGGAGAAAAAGGACAAAAGAAATAAAAGAAAAAGAAAGAAAAAATAATAAAAAAGAAAATAAAAATACACTTACATCTACAAATAAATTTTAATATGAACAAAGAATTATTAAATGTCCCGAGAGTAGTCTGAAAAAGATATTAAATTTCGAGAGAATTAAAAATCTAATATTACTATATTAGTAATTCTAAGATTAATAAATTGAGCTTTTACTTTTAGTTCAGACGATTCACCATATTCTTCTCGCCTCCCTTCTAATGCTGCTAAAGTATCTTCCACACCATCCACTGGAGACACTGGAGAGTGGAGACACTGGTAACACTTGCGACACTACCATGTCTCTCACCGTTACTGAACTCAAATGTGTTTGTAAACGATCAACATTATCCTCCTGTCGGTGTTTCTGATCTTGTATGTGTAAGAATGTGACATTAATGCGAGTATACAGTATATATTGTATACTAAAAGGTAAGGTACTATTAATAATATACAGGTACGAATGGACATGATACTAATCATACTAATAATTTAATTATTAATTTAATATTTTAATTCGTGATTCGTCCAAGAAACAGTGAAAATTTTCTATAATTTGGAATCCATAAAGACTCGAGTGGTAGACAGTGTTGTTATTATATTCATTTTCATGGGCGGGAAAGATACTAGAAAATGCGCTTGGAATCCAAATGTTCTTTATACCCTCATGGAATAACTATTAGACAGGTGAGCCGGCCACATTCCCCCGAAAATATATATGAATTTTCTCCGCTTCTTAAATGAATCACGAATTAAATATTGATGTTACGATTTGATAACAACTATGATAGATTTTAAAACAATTAAAATCGAATAATAATAGTAATTGCATATCACAAATCACAATTATCGCTGATTATAATATGATGCTTTGTTGATTAAAATTCTCTTTCTCACGATATTTCTCTTTAATATTTTCTTCTCTATTACTTTTTCTATTTTTCTATTACATAATTCAAATTTAGATAGTAATCTTTAAATGCGTAATATCAATTTTTTTTTTTTTTAAATAGAAACGCGTTTTATTAATTATTTAAATTTATAAAAAATTAGATAATTATTTAAAACCAGAGCTTAGAAAATCTAATCCCTATAACTAAGTATTCAAAACATATATACAAAAAAAAAAATAACTACACTAATATTACCTAATAACAATAAAAACCTAATAATTAATACATTTTGATCGTTAAATCCCATCTATTACTAATACGAGATCCTTCCGTTATCGTTCCTATTAATCTATTTAACGTTACCTTTTAATATTTTGGCTGATTTTATTTTTTTCTATTTTTTTTAATTTTTCTTCTGTTTTTTGTTTTCTTTTTCCTTATCTAACGCTAAATCATCATCCGTTCTGCTTTTCCTTTATCGTAGATCTATCTTCTGTATATCATCTTTGCGCTCATTTCATCACATCTAGGTATCCAGGTTCTTTTTTTGAATTCATCGTAAACGAAATTCCATAAATTTTTGATTACGGCCTTTTCTTCTTTTTTATTCGTTAATTTATTAAAGTTGTCATTATATACTCCTCTTAAAATTTCCCATATTCAGCTTTTTCCTCTCAGAACTATCGAAGGTTGTTCTAATATTCAAAATTATAATTTCTTAAAATTTTAATTTCATCGTGTTGATTTTTATCTTCTAGTTGTCTTTCGAATCTATATATTGATTCTTGTGTAATTTCATCGATCGTAGACTCGTTCGCTTCGCATAGCCAAATATGTTCCCAATTTTCTTTCTCGTTCTTTTCGCATCTTTTACATAAATCACTTTCTATTTTATTCGTGTTTCTTTTAAGTAGAGTATCGTAGGCCGGTAATTCTTTAAGTAAATTTTATTCGATACGATCTATCTCTCGTATCTTTTTGGTTACATTGTCTTTGAGTAAAATTAATACGATTACTGACAAATTCCAAAGTCGATTGCCAATCTTTTTATTCCAAATTCAAATACTAATAGTGCTTCTTCTACTATGTCAATTTGATGATTTATCGTTCCTATGATTTTTTTATCATTTAGTATTCCTCTCGCTTTTTTCTTTATCTCCACCAATTTTTTATATTCTTGATCATTATAAATGCATAATATCAATCAAAATTTGTATACAGCAAATAAAGTAAATTCGGCAATTTTATTATATAGTTCGTAAATTACAATAAAAATCTCAATTAACTGCTTTATCACAAATATAAAAATATCAAGATTTCAAACTATTTGAAAGTAATAAATTATAATTATTTTTCGTTTTATAAACTGTTTATCCTTACTTTTAGTTGGGTGACTTCAGCTTCGTCTTTAATTATCAGTTGGACGCTTGTGTAAATTTTATGATATTACAGGTATGAATGATCCTTTGTATATGTAATTTCGTATCATACCTGTAACTTTAGTAGAAGTAATATATACAGTATTACGGACAGAACAGGTACGATACGATTAGTAAATGAATTATCATACCGGCAAATTAGTGATCATAACTGTAAATAAACAACCATACCGTAACGGTATCAACAAATCGTAACGTAACTATTTAAATAATACCGCATTAATGCACGTTTTTCACGTTCACTGGTCGTACTTGTTACGCTTGCTGCATCATCGCTATCGGGTGAACTACGTCCATATGAACTTTGTCGCATATGATATGCTGCTGTTATATCTTTGGTACCTCGTCGTGCCATACTGCTTTGTGATCTTCGCTTATCACCGCTGCTAAAATATCCACTATCACGTGGACAATCGCCAAATTCTAAGTGGAAACCCATGCTTGTTGAACAACTTTGTCGACTATGCAAGAATTGTTGACCCATCACAAAGCGAACTTCGTCGTGAACTTGAAAGTTGAACACCAGCTCTGGCGCGTTCTAAATGTTGATCACTGGATCTAGTACGTTCCAAAGGTTGACCAATGGACCTTGTACGTTCTAAAGGTTGACTATTGAGTGATCTTGTGCGTTCTAAAGGTTGACTATTAAGTGATCTTGTACGTTCTAAAGGAGAAATATTCTCATCTTTTGGTGTTGATGATGTAGATAGTGTAGATGGTGTAGATGGACCATCAGATGGTCTCTTTAATCTTCGACCACTTAAACTCCTTCTCTTTACATTATTATTGTTATCACCACTAGATTCACTATTTCCAGAATCTTTTCTTCTTGGATTTGTTGGAACGTCCGGCGTCGTTTCATTAGTTTGTTCGAGTACTTTTTCACGTGGTTGAAGATTTAACCAACCGGGAGGTATTGGCGGTCTTGAAAAATTTGCTCTATTCTTACCAGTATTCACTGAACTTGCAGATAATGAATTGCATCTTGATAATGATCCCATTTGACCAGAAGTTCCTGATATTTCAGCTTCGACTTCTGCATAAGCTTGATCTAATTTATGATCAAATAAAGAAATGGCATTGGAAGTACTATTTTCATTATCATCCATCTGCAATTCTCTCTTTTCCGTTGATGGACTTAGTGATCTTCCACCGAGACGTAAAGCTTCTTCAAGTTCTCTGTTTTTCTTTTCGAATTCACTTGTTGTAAGAACTGCAGCTCTTCGCATGGCCAATAAAGTTTTTCTTAATTCCATAATTATCTTTTCTTGTTGTTCTAAGGTCATTTGTCGAGAATAATCTCCAGTTCGAAGATCAATAATATCCTTAAAGAAGGATTCTAATATTGTATACCTTTCAAATTCATCCAAATTTCGTAGAATGCGAACAGCAACGTCATATGATGCTTTAGGTGTGGCATTTTCTGGTAAGATGAAAGAAAGTTTCTTTTCAATTTTACTAGACTTGATACTATTCTTTCGTGATTTATCTTCAGATTCTTTGCTATTTTCAGCAGATTTTTCTTCTTGTTTGGCGGCAATACTTGATTGTAAAGAATGAATCTTAGCATTAATATAAGCAATTTCCGAGGTGATCATCTCAATCTTATCATCTAATGCTTGAACATCTCCTCCTAACTCATTTCCAACTTCACTAGTAATTATTTTTTCACGTTCTTCAAGTAATTCATTCTTCTCTTCTTGTAAATTATTTCTATTAACGATCCATTCATCCATCATTGTCAATGTTTGACGACCACTAATATATTTATAGATTGCTTCATTAAGAAGTTTTTTCTTATCATAACCACTGGCAAATACTTCATCATAGATAGGACTAAAATCATCGGAGGATCGTCTCGATTCCTTTCTGTTATCATCATTAGATATTGATTGTCGTTTGTGATTACGGATAGCCTTGGTGATTGACTTTGGAGTAGTGGTTCGTTTGAGTAAGGCCATAACTGATTTAAGTTTACTATTTGTTTGTAAAACTTCTTTCTGTCTCTTTTCAAGCATGATTTTTTGCATTTCACTAGTTCTTTCAAAACGTTTCTTTTGTTCTTGAGCAGATTTTCCTTTACGACGAAGATTTTGAATTTCACGTTGATTATGTTCAGTCATTTCACGGACTCGTTTAGCTTCATCCTTCATACGCTTCATCATTTGCATCTTTTCACTTTTTAGTTGTTCAATTTGAGCACGCATACTCTTGAGTATTGTTTCATTTCGATCCCTTGATGTGGTATTAGATTGAGTAGCTTCATTATATTTTCTACGAAGTTCACCAATTTCTTGGATTAAACGTTTCATCTTGTGTTCATAACGAGTTTTAAGTTCGGCAAGGATTGAATTCTTATCACGAGTACTAACGCCAGTACTAGCATTTTGAGCACGTTTAATAGCAGCATTTCTTTCTTGTTGTAAGGTAATTAAAGCGTCTTGCATATCAGCCAATTTTTGTTCATATTGAGCTCTCATATTAATATATTCTTGTTCAGCACATTCCAATTGTGAAACGAGTTGTTCTTTAACAACCATATCAGCTTGAATTTGATGTAACATACGGGTAAGAGCAATAACATTTTGTTGTTGAGATGAGCAATCAGTGCTATCTTGAGAATATTCAGTTGAACCAGGAGAAATTGGTCGATCGGAGAAACTAACAGAACGACTTGAATTTGAAGTACGACGAGTAGGTTGTGGTGGTTGTGGATTAGATTCTTGCCATTCTGGTGCTTCAATGGTTTGAATTTCACTGAAAGATACACTGCTTAATCTTCTTTTTTCTTTTTGATGATTGGAAATCATTTGATCAATATAACTCTCACTCTTAGTTCTCCTAGTTGATGAAGGTTGTTTTATTAATTGATTCTTTATTATCATGTAACTTTGTCTAAATTGTTCCTTGGCCTTTTGAAGCTTATCTCTTGTCTTGCTACGCCTTCTCAATTTTCGAGTAAATTTGAATGATTCACTATCAACATTTTCACCATCTTCACCATCTTCTTCAATATTTTCTTCGACTTCTTCATATGGTGTGAATAAGGATTTAGCTTCTTCCAAACTTTGATCATTTACGACATGTTCAAGTTGATGATGAGATGAGGAAGGGCCAATAAGTGAAATTTTAGTAGTAGAAGTTTCATCAGAAACTGGGAAGTCAGCTCTTGTCTTACTTTTCTTCGAAGAACGTTTCTTCTTCTTTTTACCTTTCTTCTCACTATTCTCTTTATTATTATTATTCTCTTTATTATTATTATTCTCTTTATTATTATTATTATTATTATTATTATTATTATTATTATTATTATTATTATTATTATTATGATTATTATTATGATTATTAAAATTATGAATATCTTCATCAGATGAATATTTATGAGGATCGGAGAATTTGATATGACCTTTCTCTCTTCCTGTTGTTGTTCCAGCCAAAGAAGATTTACGTGAATGTTGAGAAGCTTGAGTAGCTAAAAGTTCAGAAATTTGATCTTTAAGATCTTTAATTTCTGATTCATAACCTTGAACGATACGATGAGTTTTAATCCTATGTTCACGATCAGCATCTGAAAGATCTTGATCATTAAAACTAATTTCCATTAAAAGAGAGTTCTTTTCAGCTTTTGTAGAGATAAGTTCTTGTTCAACACTTTGAAGTTTCATTTTTGTCATTCCTAATTCTCCTTTAAGAACCTTAATTTCTTCTTCATGTTTACGACTTGTTTCTTCATTACAACCACCAGCTCGTAAAGTTTGAATTTCCATCTTTAATCTACTTATTTGACCACGTAATTGATTTATTTCAATAGAATTACCACCATAACTTTCATTAACACTAACTTTATTCTTAATATTACGAGCACGATTAGCATATTTTAGTGTATTTAAGGTTTCCATTAAATTAGAATCATCTGGTGAAACACAAGCCAACATAAGAGTTTGACTATTACCACCAAGTGAATCTTGTAATAAACGTGTTAATTTTGAATCTCTATAAGGAATATGAGTGACCTTTCTTGATTCATCACCAAGAGCACTAATTACATTACCAAGGGCTAGTAAACTACCATTAATTGCTATTCCTTCTTTTGCTCTATCACCTACGGCGTTAGTTCTATTTAACTATTTATGTAAAAAAAAAAAAATTTATTAATATTTAAGAAAATAATCAAGAATATTAAGAAAGAAATATATATATATATATTAAATACATTACCCTTTCAGAACCAGCCAAATCTACGAAATGAAATTTTGAAATTATTTTTGATGTTAATGATTTTTGTTTACTCTTTCTTTTTGAAGCGGTTAAAGTTTCAGGTGGTGGAGCATCATTTTCTTTATTTTCTTCTAAATTTTCTACTCTTGTTTGTTTCAGTATTACGGAAAATATAGCGTGTGATCTTGAAGATTCCATATTCATATCTGTTGAAGCGACAGTTCGACACAGTGAACCCTTTTGTAATTGTCTAAAAAATTTTGATAAATTGATAAATTATATGTATATTTTATATAACATATTATAAACGTAATATAAACATACCCTAAGAGTTCAACTGGATCCGAAACTTGAACTTCTTTTATACCAGCCCAATATATTTGACTATTTACATCTTCTCTTATCATTAAATCACTCTTTCCTTTTTTATTATTTTCTCTACATGGTGGGTTTAGTAAGTCTATAAGATCTTCATTATATAATTCTAAGAATGATACATAAACTTCAAAATCAAAGGTAGGATTTTTTTCTTTTCGTTTGTTAAGGACGGCAAATAATTTACTTATAGCACGTGGAACGATACCTAATAATAAATGACGTCATTAACATATTAATCAACTTTTTTGATGATCATTTTAAAAAAATGATGCAAGGGAATATGTATAACAAACAAACAATGGAAATATGTACCTTGATTTTCGGGTGAAATATTTGAACCATCTAAAGCAGTACCCATACTATATGTTTTACCACTACCAGTTTGACTAAAAAAGTAGGGGGAAGGGTTAAAATAATAAAATTTTTAATAAATTGTTTCAAGTTATAAAAGTAAATAATAAATAAATAATTATGCAAACTAATTTAAATAATTATGTTCAAGTTATTTACTTACCCATATGCTAATATTGTGACATTATAACTAAAATAATAAAATAAAAGAAAAAAAAATAAATAATAAATAAATAAAATAAAAATTATAATGATTTAACAATGGTGTGATAAAAATAAGTGATATCAACAAAAAAAAATCCAAATTTGATAAAAAATTTTTTTTTGATATCTTGGAATATGTATTTGATTCTTCTTGCACGAGCGACGTGACGCCGAATTTTTTTTTCTTGTGTACTCACCCTTCCACAAATTTATCTATTAGCGGACTTACGCAATCTTGAAATACTTCTTCTTGTTCAGTATCCGATGGGAATACATAATCAAATGTAAATGATTTATCGGTTCCAATGAGTATTTGTGGTGCGTCAGGTATTATTGTTAAACATTCATTACAATTTTGTAGTGTTTCTTTGTTATTGAGTGGTCTTACTCTCAAAGCAACTCTAGAGAGGACGGCAGGGAGAAAAGGCGAATAAGAACGTGAAAGAAATAGGAATAAAGAATAAAAAGGTAAAGGAATTCTTTGATTTTTTTGATATATAGTTACTTACCGTACGGAAGTTGAGGTCATTTTTTTTCGTGTGTATGTATGTATATATTCGTTGAAAGTGTAAGAAAGAAAGAAAAAAAAGGAGAAAAAAAACGAATTCTTTTTTAAGAAGGGGTTTTTGTTTATAATACAAACGAAAATATATAAGATTCAAAAGATTCTTACAAAAAAGAAATATATATATATATATATATATATATATATGGATTTATTCAAAAATGAGAAGATGGAAGAAAAAAAAGGATTTTAAGCAACTAATATATGCGTTTGGATTACAAAAAAAAAAAACTTTAAAAAAGATGATAAAATTCGTAATTATTTATTAAAAAAAGTAGAAAGCATATCTGATATGTAGTATATATATTAAATAAGAATTAATTTTACTTTCACACGGAGGTTTAATTTAATTTTCATATCGGCGGATTATTACCCTAACAGATGTTAATTTATTTTTGTTACACAAAGCATTCATAAGGCGTAGTAAAATTGGGGTTTGGGGACGAAACATTAAAAAAAAATTTATTTGGTTTTGCTATACAATAATTTGATAAATACTTCTTTTAAACAATAATTTCTGGAATTTTTTTTTGTAAAATTGAGTTTTACAACCAGTTTGAATGTAAAATTCCTATAATGTGTACAATTAGACAATTTTATAAAAATTATCAAAAAAATTTTTTAAACAATATTCATTGTGACTATATAAATTTTCTATTTACATTTTGTTTTATTAAAGCATACTTACTTTCTAATAATACACCTAAAATTACTATGGTTTTTCGCAAATGTAGATTTTTACTCATTATTCAGTCTATCAGGTATTACAAACACAATTTTGAGCAAACTTGAAGTAACCAAATCGGCCGATATGTTGTTCATCTCCGGTGAAATTCGTTAATAATTACGTAAATAAAATTTTTCACATGATAAATAGGACCCAGAAATATATATACAGGGGTAGGGTACACAGATGCATCGCCATCATAGTGGAGTGATTTGCGTACAATTAGTCATCAAGATTTCAAAATTTTAAAATTAGTTTGCATATTTTTGGCCTAAAATTTTGCTAATCTTATATATATGTAATATAATATTTAGTATTAATTGAAGGAACTTCTAAGAGTTGACTATTTTGAAAAATATTGTTGAAAAAATGGATAAATTTTTTTTTTTCACATTAGTATTTGATTTTATAAATACATGATAAAATAATTAATATTAATGTCTGATATTTTACTTGCAGGAATATCAGGTGTACTATTCATATAAAAAGTCTCTGCGTACAGCTCATAATAAAAAAAATTTTCGCCCCTGACCCCTATATATATATTTCTGGGTCCTTGATAAATGAATGGTTGATTTAACTTTAATGATAAGTTTTAATATTACATTTAAAATTTTTGTATAAATATTGTAAACAGAAAATTTTTTTATGAATTTTTCTTTTTCAAACATATAACAGTCATACAACAGATAATGTTTAATCAAATATTTTCAATAGTTTCTTTATTAAGGAAATTCTCTAATCTGGAAATCGAAAACTTTATTAATTTATGGAAAGAGAAGAAAATCTAGAGAATTTTTTTTTAAAAAAAATTTATTACGTCTATATAATTCATAAATTGAATTGTGTAATGTGAAACGACTGATGTGTAAGTTCCAGTGAGGTTTGTGTGGTTAATCCAATGCCAGTTAATGAAATTTTACCTTTTTCGGGTTGTTTTTATTTAAACCGAATTTTTTTTAAAAAAAAATATTTTTTAATTTTTCTTATTTCGATTTGGTTTTTTTTTTAGACCAAACTTTTTTAAAATCTTTTACAGTGTCTTTCTATGAAAAAAGTTGTATATATTCCAATAATAAATAATTATGTGGCTTATAATTCTTTTAATAAAAATACATTTCATGGTAATAGCTTGCAGGAGCATAAAAATAGCTCGGGCATGCAGTGTTGTCAAATGACACTAAAATTACATTGAAATGACATCAAATGACATTAAATGACATCGATTTTACTATGAAAAAGTATGAGAAATGACAAATGTCATTTGAAAAATGGGCAAATGACATGGCAATTTAACAAGCGGGCATGTGATTTTTGAGCATGTGATTTTGTTACAATGGCGCAGTTTGTGGCAACTGATCTATTTAAATATTTATCGCGTATTTAAGCTATTATTTAAGCTTCCTTTTCACGTCTGCATTACCAAATACCAAGAATACAATTTTTTAAAATGTTGGCTTATTTTCTTTACAATAGCTAAAACAAAACTTGCAGAAAATATGAAACCTGTAGAAATAAACCTAAATCACCAAGTAAGCAATAATATCAGTTCAACAAACTAAATTGTAATTGTTATTTTGACAGCCTAATTAGTGCTACCTTCTCCTCTAGAAGAGCAAAAACTAGTCTGTATTATAAAGTAGTAAGGAAGTCATATAGTCCTATTAATAAATTAGGTGAAGATGTTGAACATTACCAAAATAAGTGAACCATGCCATTAACATGGAAGGAGCATACTGATAGCACTTATTATTTACAATAATTTATTTTAAATTAATGTATTTTAATAAATTGAAATTGAATAAATTTTATTGTTAAATTAATATTACATTCTATTTTAATAAAAATATTTAATTTTATTAAGTTAAAAGAATTTGTTTTACTCTTATGAATTAACATCTATAAAATTTCATTATATTCTCAAGCAATCATCTTTGGAATGGAGTATCTTAGGGTAAGGAAAGTTAGTTTAGACTGAAGTACTTATCTTTGAAGATTAACATTGATATTGGAGTATCTTAAGGTTAGGGTAAGGAAAGTTGGTTTAGGCAGAAATACTTATCCTTGAAGATAACGTAGACATTGGAGTATCTTTAGAGTTAGGTAAGGAAGGTTAGTTTAGGCTGAAACTTTTACCTTTGGAGTTAGCGTTGACCTTAGGGTTTAAGTAAGGAAGTTAATTTAGCAATAGCTGCGTAGTGCAATTTCCATAGTTACACTTATCCACAGTCAAATCACATGAATCATATGCCTGAGCTTTTTTTGATGGTTATGCTGAGGGAGTTGCAATTCGGATTTATAAATTTCTGATTGACAGCGTTCATGTGAAGTACAATGTCAATACATGAATATTTTGATCAAACATATACTGAATGGAATATCAGAGAGTTTTTAAATGAATGTAACAAAGAACCTTTTCAGCAAAAAATTGATACATATTTAAAAAGCATTGAGAACATTGTTAGAAGTGATAAAGAAAAAAGAAGTAAAAAGGCACAGCATCTTTTTGATAGATATAAAAAGGCAAGTAAAAAATGTTTTTTGTTGGAATGTAACTTAGGAGTAAGTGGCATGATAGGGATCTTTTAGTTTTCCTTCATTCAAGTCTTTTAGTCAAGTCACAAAACCAGTTTTAGGATATAGGCAATCTTTTAGTTTGGCTGTATTCAAATCTTTTAATCAATCTGATTCTGGTCTTATTGGAGTGTAGGCAATCTTCTAGTTTGGCTGTATTCATGTTTTTTAGTCAACCTGATGGGATGTAAAAATCAGATAGGCAATTCAAATTCATATTTGCTAAGAATATTAATTCACCAATTCTTCTTTGCTAGAATATTTGGCCACCTGATTACCGACTTGCTAAAAATGGGAAAACAAAGTGTAAATTAAAAAAATGTGTAATATACCTGATATACCTTCAATAAATACAGTCCGGGATTTTACCATAAATGGAATCAATTTCAAGCACTTTGATTGGTAGTGATCTTACCATTTTTGTATATGCCGATCAAAGAATGTTAATCAGAATATTCTACAACTGACGCAATTTTATTGATTAATTTCAGCATCGTATATTCGATACTTTGATCATTCGAAATGATAAAATTTAGATAATTTTATTATTTTTTTCTAATTTATTGAAAAATATATTTTTTTCGTCTAAACTACATCTATATCATTTAATTCATTATCTACACTCTGCAAATTTCGTACCTCTTGTAATATGGTTAGCAATTCACTTTTCTTTTTAGATCCTATTCCATGGTACTGCTTGCGAATACTTTCACTCATTTGTTCTAAAAGAGATTCTACTTTACGCAAAATCTCTATTCATGTTATGTTGGATTCATCTGCCTGCATCATTGCTTCTTGTTGAGTTATTGGAATAGGCCAAAATGAGAGAACTGAACTTTTTTTGTAAAACACTTCAATAATATATTCTTGTCGTGCCTTTTTTACCAAATTACTAAAATTTTTCAACTGGTCACTCAATTTATTCTCTCCACCTAGACTTTTAAAATCTGTTTTTGTCTCCATTGGATTAAGAAAATTAAGCTTTCTTAAATAAACCTGAAATCTTTGACATTCTGTAATTGATTCAGAATGAGTTCTTGGAGAATTTGCTTGAACATAGTGGGATACCACATGCAATATAAATTATATTGCATGTGGTATCCCACTTATCCTAGATTATAGTATCACATGTAATCTAAATACCACATATAATCTAAATACCGCATATGATCTAATTAACACATATAATCTGAATACCTCATATGATCTAAATATCACATATAATCTGAATACCACATATGATCTAAATAATGTAATCTAATTACCACATATGATCTAAATGATGTGGTCTAAATACTACATATAATCTAACATTTTATTATTTCTTATATCGCTTTTACATTCTAGCTATATCTTTAAGCCTTTCTTGATATTCGTATTTTTGTGCTAATATACTTTTTATTACCACAATATAATCTAATTACCACACACATATAATCTAAATACCACGCTATTCTTCTTGTTTCTAAGTCATTTATTTGTTAAATTATACAATGGAGTTCTTGACCTTCTGTAGTTATTTGGATACCTGGTTTATATCGAGTACTGTGCCTCCTGCGCCTGATTGGGTGCTGGATTTTATATTGGAGTACTTACCTTTGCGCCTATTTGGTTGCCTTTCTAGATGTTGAAAAAAAGTGACGGGTGGCGCAGTAAATTTGCATTTAATTTCGGCTGACACTATGCTATAATTCCGGCTGATCTTTTGGGCATGTGATTTGAGGATCCAGCCTGGCGCCATGGAACTATCGTGGAACTGGCAGGGAACTGTCATGGAACTGGTGAGGAACTGGCAGGAAGCTAGAGTGGTTCTATTAATTCACCAGTTTCAGATCACTTATATTGCCAGCTTGGATGCCAAGTTCTTATGCCCAAAGATCTGGTCAAAATTGTGGAATAGTGTTGGCCGAAATTAAGCGAATCTATACTGCGCCTTACTGCGCCATAGTCACGTGATACTGTTCCGGTGACAGAACACCCTCACATAGTTACGGGCTAGTGACGGGGATGTTCTGGGAAAGTTTCTGGAACCCAATATATATGCATCTGTGCCACATATTTTTTGTATCCATATATTTCCGAAATCTTCCTAACACTCTCGAGCTCCAGTCTGGTGGACAGTTGGTTAGTAGAGAATTGGAGGTACAATATGTATTATCTTGGCCTGACCCATTTGATTACCAAAAAGTGCGCCATCATGCAACCTAATTATTGTCAGTACATGTATGCCTATTTCATGTCCGAAGTTGAAGATGCGATATGTATTATTGTGGCTGGCCCATCTATACCATACCCGAGTACATATCTAGAAAGATGAAGGCTTCTGCCAATATTTATATAATAGATTACGCAGTTACCTTCACTTTTAGATGTATATCCACTTGCCTTTCTTTTTCGATTCTCCATCTAAGTTTGCTATCGCTTCTTTTTTTCGCGTATTTGTCTATCCTAGATGTCATATATGCCCGAGCACATACTAGTGTTAGGGTAGCCTTCTGCCAATATTTTATATAATGATTACGCAGAATTAGGGATGGGGGTTAATTAACCACGGTTAATTAACCATGGTTAATTAACCGTTAATTTTGTTAGTTATGATTGATTTAAAATGGTTAATTAACCGTTATTTATAATTAGCCAATCAAAATGCAGAATTTAAATCATGTGATTAAATGATAATCCATTATTTTGTTACACAATTAAATATTAATTAATATAAATATTGATTAAATCTATGATCTACATATTGCATGATCTTTTTTTTAAGATAAATTTTTTTTAAAAAAACACTTTTTTTTTGCAAATTTATTGTTCATTATCATGGTAAAAAAAAAGGGAACTGTTTGGAAACATTGGACAATAATTACTGAAGCAGAAAGTAATGAAGAAAGTAGTAGGTCTAAGAAAAAAACACATCCTTCTGTACGTTGTAATTATTGTTCTAAAGTTTTTGAACAAGGTACAGCTAAAAGAATGCAAGTTCATCTTAATGATAGTTGTCCTAGAGCTCCAGAAAGTGCAAAAACAAAGAAACAACAAATTCCTGAACTATTAGAAACTTCTGATGCTACTACTTCTACTTTTATTCCTACAGTAAAAACATCAAAAAAGCATTTAAAAAATACAACAATTGAGAATTTTGTTGATCGTATGAGTGAAGAAGAACAAGATACTCTTGAAATTTTACTAGCTCAAGCATTATTTGCTGCTGGAGTTCCTTTTTCTTTTCTTGAAAATAATTATGTTATTCAGTTTTTTCAACAATTACGTCCAGCATTCAAATTACCTAATCGAAGAAAACTTGCTGATGAATTACTTGATGATGTTTTTGATGAAGTTAAAGCTGAATGTAATGAACAAATTTTACAAGCTAAATCTCTTACAATGGTTTCAGATGGTTGGTCTAATATTAATCGAGAATCAGTTCAAAATTTTGTTATTTGTACTCCAAAACCATTATTCTTTGATGCTATTTATTCTGGTGAAGAATCTCATACAGCTAAATGGGTTGCAGATGAAATTATTAAACAAATGGAAATTGTTGGTATTAATAAATTTTCAGCAGTTATTACAGATACAGCTAGTGTAATGAAAGCAGCTTGGCGAATTATTGAAGATAGTTATCCAAGTATTGTTTGTTTAGGATGTAATTCTCATGTAATGAATCTTTTAATTAGTGATATTTTAAAGATTGATCAAATTAAATCTGTTGTTGAAAATGCAAAAAAGTTGGTCAATTATTTTAAGGCACATGTACAGGCAACAGCTAAATTGAAACGTATTCAAAAAGAAAATTATTCTAAAGAAATTGCATTGGTTTTACCAGCACTTACAAGATGGGGAACACATCTTGCTTGTTTTCAATCACTTCAAAATTCAAGAACAGCACTTGAACAGGCTTTAATGGATATAAGAATTCGTCAAAATATGGATTTAACTTTAAGAGCTCATATTTTATCAGATGAGTTTTGGGAAGATTTAGATATAATAACAAAAATTATGGAACCAATGGTTTCAGCATTAAAGTTATTTGAATCAGATATTTCAATTCTTTCAAATGTTTATTCATATTTCAAAGAAGTAATGAATCAAATTAATCAAATAGATTGTAATTTTTCTGATAAACTTCAAGAACTTATTGCAAAGCGATGGGAATATACTTATCATCCTATTATGATAACAGCTTATATGTTAGATCCACAATTTTTGGAAAAAAGTAAAAATGATGAAGTTGAATCTATTGGTTATGTAGAATTTACAACATTTGTAAATAAAAGATTTAATCAGGAAGAAGCAGTAGAATTATTTGCTGAATTGGTAAATTTTCGTAATAAAAATTCACCTTATGATAATGAAATTATTTGGAAATCTGCTAATATTCTTAATTCATCTTTATGGTGGCAATCATGGCCAACTAGTAAACTTCAACAACTGGCTATTAAAATTCTCTCAATTCCTACATCTTCTGCAGCTGCAGAAAGAAATTTTTCTACTTTTGGTTTTATTCATAATAAAATTCGAAATAGATTGAAAAATGAACGTGTTAAAAAATTAGTTTATATTTATGGAAATCTTCGAATGTGTAATAGACTTGTAAAAATACAAAAAAAGAAACAGATTAGTAATTTTAATGAAAATGAAGAAGATAGTAATAATAGTTCTGATAATGAAAATAAAGAAGATGATAATAATAATAGTTCTGATAATGATAGTATATTTGGATTTGAAGCAAATGTTATTAATTTAGATGATGAAGAATAAATAAAATATATTAAAATTTTATAATATTTAATAAATTATAAATTTATTTTAACTTCCTTAAAATTATATATACAGGTTATTTATGGGTTAATTAACCGTTAACTAACCGTTAATTAACCGGTTAATTAACCAAATTCATAACTAACGGTTATTTTACCAACCCTACGCAGAAGGCTACCCTATAAAGAATGTATTTATTTGTGTCTCCGAAGTGTCCAAGAGGGGCCAGCCAACTTCGTATCTCTTTTTGGTATACCTCTATATTACGTGGAGGCTATACCATATCTGAGTACATATCTAGGAAGATGGGGGCTTCTTCCAATATTTTATATAATAATTCCGAAGTTACCCCCATCTAAAAGTATATACCCGTTTCCCTTTTATTTACGATTTGCTTACTGGGTTGCTATACGCCTCTTTTTACATCCTATTAACAATGCTAAGGTGAAGGCTTCTGCCAATTTTTATATAATAGATTACGCAGAAGCCTTCACTTTTAGATATATATCCGGTTGCCTTTCTTTTTCGATTCTTTTAATAAGTTCACTATCTTTTCTTTTTGCATCCACCGAAAAAAATAAATTAAACATTTCCGAATTTTATAAAGTAATATAAACATTTTCGAACTAACACCATGCATACACCAACTAGTTTCGACCAAACCGATCGCTCCGGAACCGCCCCAGCCCTCCGCTACGATGACACTGGCCCCTTAGCCGGTGTTCTATCACGTAATGAGATTGTAGCAGAATATGATAATGGGATGACTGCTATACTCCAACAAAGCCTATCCGACAAGCAACCCATACATTTCATGCCTACTGAAGTTAGTGATGATACCTCCGAATATGTAAATGGTGTCTCCTCCTATATTTTGCGTATTACTGGTACTTTGATTAATGGACAAAAAGCAGTCGTAAAAATTACAGGCATTAAGCTTTTCTTTGATGTCGAAGTACCTGAAGAGATGTCCCTATCTACGTTTAAGACCAGATTAGTAAATATATTATCCAATACTCTCAAAGGTACATCAAAATTTGGGATCGAGAATATTAGTGCTTTCCCACTTCAAGGATATTATACAGAGAAAAAATCATATATACGTGTTATTACTTGGAATCAATTTGACCGGTATAATTTGTTAAAGGCAGTTCGTGAAGTCTGTATCTGTACAGCTTCTGATGATCTAACCCCAATATATTATTACCGCAAAGTAGCCCGTGAAAAAAGATTACCTCTTTCAAGTTGGGCAACGTTAAGTAATTATTTCCACGAATATATTCAAGGGGTACTTATCTCTTCCAAGTTTCTGTGAATAATTACAATCCAACAAGTGAGGACGATTATAATAATCCATTATTCTCCTCGACCCTTTCACGGGATCGAACTCTTGTTCTCACATGGGATATAGAGACATATAGTTCGCTTGGTTTAGGTAAATTCCCTACTGCGCAGAGCGATGAATCTAACGTATTTATGATTTGTATGACAGTTCATTGGAAAGATGATCCCGAACCGTTAAAACAAATCTGTCTTGTCGATATTGAAACAGCGCCAGATCCGCGATGGATTACAATCGTATGTGGATCCCAGACTAATTTACTAAAGGCTTTTGCACTATGTTGGAAGCTTTTAGCTCCAGATATACACATAGGTTTTAATGATTCACAATATGATTGGAGATTTATTGTGGAGAAGGCGAAAAAATTAGGGGTTCTCGAATGGGTGTTCAATCAAATGTCATTAAAGTATTCAAGCCTCGAAAAAATTACAAAATGGCAATACCAATATAACGCAATAAAGGTTAATGATATACCATTTCATTCAAAGCATCTCAAAATCCCAGGATGCGTAGCTATCGATGTCCGACCTTGCTTTATGAAATTTTATTCTAAGGCCGAAAAGAGTAGTTTAGCATTCTACCTAAACGAATGTGGGCTCGAAAGTAAATTGGATATGCCTTTCAACCGCATGTTCAAGTATTACAGAAATGCACTAAAAGAGGCTGATGCCACAACGGCTGAACAAATGCGCGAAATAGCCGAATATTGTATCATTGACGCTCTTAGTTGCCAGCGGTTAATGATTAAGCACAATGTAATTAATGAGTACAGGGAGGTTGCGAGCATAGCATTTATATCGTTATTTGATGCGCATTATTTTGCAATAGGAATGAAAGTGAGCAATCTTTTAAGTGCTAGTGCATGGCGGGAAGGGATTTTAACCAGTACAATTTCAGAACGAACGGAAACAGAATCATTCCCGGGTGCCTACGTCTTCCCACCAATAAAGGGGCTCGAAAATAAACGTCCTGTAACTGGCTTAGACTTCAGATCTTTATATCCAAGCCTTATCATGACATACAACCTCTCGCCTGATAAAATCATTTTATCTTAAGAGCGTGCTGAACAAAGTGGTAAAAAACTCCACGAAATTAGTTTTAAATTCAATAATCAGGATTGTCTCGCATGGTCTATAAGGCATAATAACACTCCTGAAGAAAAGGGTCTCTACGTTACTATATTGGAATATTTATCTATCAAACGGAATGAGATAAAGGAACGCCTTGCCCCTGTGAAAGAAAAAAAGGAAGATATGGAACTGGTAATAGGTTTAATGGGTAAAGATTTGTCACTACCAGAAGCAATTGAGCACATTTTAGCAAAAGCGGGGGAGAAAAAACGTGCCAGCCTTAACAAAAATCTATACCATTTTATTAATAAAGAAAAGCATGAATTCATGACAGAATATGATTCAGTTTGTTTTGTTTATTCTTGCTTAGATGCGAAACAAAATGCTCTTAAGGTGTACATGAATACATTTTATGGCACCGCTGGGGATAGTAAATCTCCCTTCTTCTTGCGAGCACTGGCTGGGGGCATCACATCAGCTGGACAGAGAAATATCAAACTTGTCGCAAATTTCGTTAAAAGTAGGGATTTTCAGATAAAATATGGTGATACTGATTCATTGTATCTAGTTCCTCCAGAAAGGTACTTTCAAGAATGCGATGAGGCATATGACAGCGGTAATGGTGGGATCTCGAAAGAAGAATATTGGTCTAGAATGGTAAAAATCTCTATGGAAGAGATGGAGAAACTCCGCGACGAAGTTAATGACTTTTTTAAAAAAGATAATGGATCGTCGTATCTTAAAATGGCATATGAGGAAGTTTTATTTCCGGTAGTATTTACTGGAAAGAAAAAATACTACAGCATTCCACATGAGAGTGAGCCAAATTTTAATAAAGAGCTTTTCATTCGGGGAATTGAGACTGTAAAACGGGGTCAGTCTGGCATTTTCCGCAAAATAGGAAAACGTATTATGGAAGAGTCTACGAGGGTAAACAATACACGTACCTTGCATCAGGTTGTAGAGGACGTGCTCAAAGAGACTGTAAAGGATATTTCGCAGACAAATCTTAATGAAATAATAAAAACTGCTGTGTGGAGGCCCGATAAAAATAACAAGAGTGTACAGCGCTTCATTTCACGAATGCGGGATAGACATACCCGTGAAGAAGCGGACGCCAAACGGCTCATAAAAAAGGGTCTAACACCCAAGGCTTATCTTTATGAAATCCCAGAGCCAGGCGAGCGGTTTGAATATGTTGTAGTTGAGAATGATTCATCACAGAAGGTAGGTGACAAAATGGAGTACCCAGAAGTGGCAAGACATCTTGATAAAAAGATCGATATTAACTATTATCTGAAAAGTGTTGTCGGGCTCTGTGCGCGATTTATAAACTATGATGATAGACACCAGCCATCATCTGAAATTGTGCTGGAAGCCTTAAAAAAGTTAAAAGATGGTAATAAAGTGGGTGAAAATAAAGCGGATGACAGTAGAGTGGATGAAGACGACCTGGACGAAGATGAAGAGGAAGAAGACGAAATGGATGGGGATGAGGTATCAAAAATAAGAGATACCTTAGCGCAGAAATCGGCTGAAAAATGGATTAGGGGGTATATCAAAAACCTACGTGATGGTCCGAAAAAAGATAAAACCATCATTTCTCATTTATGGGAAGGGGCACGCATTTACGCGAAAAAATTATTTGATACTACTTATGCCGACAAGGGAGAACACCTGACTAACAATGATTATTACCAATCCTTCCTCAATGTGCTAGATAAGCAAGAAGAATCTATCCGCTTAAAACTTTCATCATTGCTTAAAGAAATTTCCGAGGTTGATATAGGGTATAGAGAAAGTATGTATAAATTAGTTACTAAGAAGCGAGCAATGTCCTTAGAACAATATTTAACATCATATTATTTGGATGAGTGTAAGCTACTAGCAGGTTTCCGAAACACATGGTACAAAGTGGTTGGTCTAGAAATCACACGCTATCGAACGTTATCAAAGTTACAGGATGACAAAAAAAGATAATTCGTCCGAAGCGGATATAGACGAGATCATCGATTTATATGGATAAGTACTCTTAGCGGGATGTGACAATTTCAACTAAGAATACTTAGCCGTTAAGGCTCTTCACATAATATTATTTATGACTGCATATTTTTTTCGCTTGCAATAATACTGGCTAACTTCAATTCCTATAATCGATCTTCCGGCCTCCGACCCAAGAGATCATCCTCCGATCATATATCCCGACCTCAGATATGCCCGGAGATAATCATTAGTATTTTGCATATCAAAGTTTACGATCAGCCAAAAATCTGCATATTTTAAACATAGTCTTTATTGGTATAATGGCTGAACTACGTGATCAAGTATCCCAGTACATAGGATTCGAACCAAATGAAATTCACCTCCCGATCACAGAAGAGGATAGGTGGCTATTTAGTAAGATAATAGCAGATCAGGAAGGAATGGCAGATATCGTAATGGGTGACTATCAATTTTTACAACGTTATGGGCATAATGGTAAGGGAGGTGAGTTCATTCATATCGGATGGTTACTAGCATGTACGGTGGCCCAAGCTAAAAAAGTCTTAATAAATCCGCCCGAGCGCCAAGCCGAAAGAGATTTATCAAAAAAGGTATTAGCCCGCATTCAAAAAAGATTCGAAGGAGTCCCACTAGCGCCAGTACTTATACGGTAGTCGATTAGGTATTATTTCCGAGATGGTCTGTCCCGAAAAAATCTTACCTGGTCGGTCGTCTTTTTTCCGCGAATTCCACCATTTCCTAGCCATGAAGCATATAATCGTAATAAGTACTAGGGTAAGTATAGAATATATTAACATAGGCGGGATCGAGGAGCTCGTGACGATAGGAGCAGTTGTTAGTAAAGGCACCGCTTCTGCGCCACCTACAGAAATTATTTGAGAAGGATTAAGAGTGGAAGGGGTCGCTTCAGGACCAAGATGCGATGAATCATTCATAGGCAGGGGTTGAGGATCTACTTTATTATTTTTTTCCAATTCTAACTGGTCCCTGAGAGACCTATTTTTCTCCATTAATTTTGATTGTGCCGAATACAAAGCATCTATTTCCCAACTGGTTATCTCATGTGTCGCTTCTATCCCTTTTTCCATACATTCTATTGTACATTCTTTCGAATTAAGGTCCTCCTTCACTCGTTTCAATTCAAGCCTGAGAGAATCGATCTCTTTACGATCAGATTGGGCTGGATCCTCTATCATCCCTCCCACTGCATTCGAATCATGGAGCACCTGTTCTAGTTCCAAGTCATCCAACTTACCTTCCAATTCACGTACTTTATTTTCAAGAGAAAGAATCTTGGTCTTGTCGGCGGACGAAGCTTTCCGGGCTAAAGTCCCCTCTCTTTTCAGTGTTTTAATCTTAGATTTGAGCGATTGGATTTCGGCAGTATATTTGGCTTCAAGCTCACGTTGACTCTCAGTATGAGACTTTCGTTCAGAAATAAGTTGGGATCTAACTTTAGTAGTGGATGCAATTAACTGGCTAGCTTTATTTTCAAACTCCTTTTCTCGCTCATTGTACTTATCTACCAGCTTTTCGCTGAGATCATTAATTTCAGCTTTAGATTTAAGAGCAGAATATAATTTTTCTTTAATCTCTTGCTCATTTGCACCACCAAGTCGTTGACCGACCCCTCTAAAGGAACAATCACTTTTATTATTGATATCTTTCAAAGTATATACATTGGTCATAGCCTTTTATTTCGGCTTAACTGTTACTATAGTAAAAAAAAATATGACTAAAAATTTCTGGATCGAATCTACCAAAAATATATCGATAGTACTGAACAAAAATCGAATGAATACCGAAAATATATCGGTATTTTTTTGAAAGATTTTTTCTATCCATTTGTAAAATGATTAGGTATTTGCGCTCAGATGCAACCCGTCTATCTTCTGAAGATATTCAGGATATTATTAAAGCCAAAAATTCAATGAAACGGGCATCAGAAGCCATGGCTAATAAATACAAAATATCAACACGACGGGTATATCAAATTTGGAGAGGAGTCCATCCACAAATAGATCCTAAAGATATAAAGCCATTTTCAGAAGAATCTGATACGTATCAGCAAGCAGATCCTGTAGAATGCAATGTTGTTTTGGGGAATAAGGTGAAAAAGACCAGAGGAAAAAAAACTAAGTCTAAATCCGTTCACATCTTTGAGTCACCTGTTATTCAGACACCACTAGCTTCAATAAGTTCAAAAGGTTTAAATATAAGCAATGAGGAATTAGGAGTATTTTATGAGAAAGAAGATAAGAGAGGTGAAAAAGTCACAGAAGGAATAAATAGGATACTAGCCATGTAAAAGATGTTTTTCATTTAGTTCGATATAGCGTGATAACAACTCCTCATATAGTCCGTTAAGATTTTCTTTAGACTTAAGAGTGCTATATAGCATTTTTTCAAGCTCCTCATAACTCACTTTTTTTTAAATGTACCATCTTCGATTAAGTCCTGCGAAATTTTGTCTGGGGTCGAGGAATCATCACATTCTGGAATAGTGGTCGCACAATTCACCTCAAGCTTGTTCTTGACCTTATGCATATTAATTGGGATAAAAAATTCCTTTCCATTACATTTTAGTCTTAATTCTCTCTTCGATGCAAGTAAATCATAGTTATATTTATCAAGCAATGTGTTGGGTAAAATAAGCATCTGCTTAGGATACTTGACGACTGCAAAATCTGCGTATATAGTACATCTAGGAGTGAAATTTACTGGAACATTCCTAACAATTCCAAGCGACTCTGTAGGAGTAGTAGCAATGTCTCTGAGATCATGTTTTTCTTTTGTATCAATTTCTAGCTTTGATCGTTTGGCTATATCCTTATACATGATTGGAAAATTAGCACCAGGATCAACTGTACCTGCCGGAATCACTAGACGCTTAATTCTACATTTAACAGTGGCAACATCTGTGGCGGGATCTTTTCTCTGTACAAAATCTATCTCCATAGGAACATCAATGAATTCATCCTCTTCAGAATCGGCCAGTGTTTTAGAATTATCGTTCTGTGAGTGAAGGAGGGCCGTGATAGTACCAAACTTTTCATTAAGCACCTTCTCAATAATTTTCTCAATGATTTTTTCTAAGCGGGATTGTTCGTCCTGTGGTGGGGACTTTAAACTTTGCTTTTCCTTCTTGGAAATAGGAACTGATGCGATCCCAGAAGGATCTGCTAAAGGGGGGATCCCAAAGGGACCGGTTATTTCCGCATCTTTTACCTTATGAGACTTGCAAGTTTTTGATTTCTTCTTCTGTGAGGAGGTAATAGGACTATGTCCTTTCTTCACTTTTTTTTTACCCGAGATATATTAACATTAATTTCAGCATCAGCCTCAGCCTCAGACTCTGATTCAGAAGATGAACTCTCAGAGCTAGAAGAACTATCCTCAGACTCCGACGAAAAAGTATCATTATCGGAAGAATCTGAATCCGATTGTTCGTCTACTCTAGCTGTATGGTCTCGACCACTTTTGGATTTTTTCTTCTTAGACTTATTTTTTGATTTTTTTTTCTTTGTTTTAGAAGTTTTACGGGCAGGTTTACAGCCACTTTTATGTAACTTTTTGACCACATTAATTTGTTTGGAAAGCTTAGCATAGTTGGCATTAGCAACACCCAATCTCCGTATTAATTCGTCATTAATATAATTATCTAAGGATGTAAGATCTCTTGGTGCATCAGGTGACATTCCCAAACGTACTGCACGTATATACATCTTTTCTAAGGCCTCATTATTCTGAGGGTGTACTTGAGCCGGTTGAGCTAGTTGGGTTCGTAGGGAGGCTATTTCAGATTTTAACTTATCAATCTCAGCCGAAGAAGATCCTTGAGAATTGGTTTTATGTGACGGTTGATGCAGAGTCGTTCCAAGAATTTGCTGGGCGCTATATCTCTCAATTTCCTCTAATTTCTTAATTAATGCAGGAAGAGGAGTCTCTAAGCCGATTCGTCTTACTTCTATTTGGTTATCAGGCTTAAGACCATGAAAAAATTGTTGTTTAACTAATTCATCTTGATTTATAGCAGGAAGTAAAGGGTATGCTAATTTAACCATTCTCTTTAAGTTAGTATAGAATCGCCCTACAGGATCATTACCTTGAACAAGCGACTGAAATTTAACTTTAGATTTTTCAGCAGTAACCGTTGGAAAGTCATGTAAAAAGGTATGTATCTTCTGTCCAACAAACATTCCAAGAACTATAACATTACCACCCGCATTAGCATTTGGTGCATTTGGAGCTAAAAGTGTCGGGCAACCACCTGATATAGACCAGTCCTCTTCCCAAACAGTATGTCCAGGTACTATTGGATTGGCAATCGCATTATTATCAGCCGGTACAGTATTTCTTATATGAAGAGCTCCACCCCGAAACTGATTAGCATTAATAGCACGCAATGCATTATTATTAGCCAGACCATTAATGGCACCAATATTTGCAAGACCAGTATTATCGCTAATATTGTGCAATTCCCAGTTTCTTCCCTTTATCTCAGTTTCATACCAATCTCTTGCATAATCTTTTAAACCTGATTCAAAGAGTCCATCAATACGAATTCGGTGTTGATGACCTGCATTCGGATCGTGGTTAGGTGAAGCTTCACACCATTGACGCAAATCTCTTATATAATCTGCTGGATCTTCACCAGCTAAACCATGAAATTTTGGAGGCGGATATCCTGCCATACCTATATGTTGTATATTAGGTGGGTTATTCTGAAGCGCCAAAATTTGTCCTTGCAAATTTAAAATATTCTGATCTCTTTGCCCATTCACTAGCTGGAAAACAAACTTTTCACGTAGTAATTCACCGATACGGGTTTGCTTTCTCGCTATAATGACTAACATCCTATTTACCTGATTTTGGGCATTAGTCTGCAACTGTTGGGTATTTTGCTGAAGACGGTTAGTATCTCGCCGATATAATAGTTGTTTAGCAAATTTTTCCCGCAATAGTTCCTGGATACGCCTATCTTTATCTCGATATGAAAACATCCAGCGCCTGGATTCTTGTCTTTCATTATTATAGGCCAGCATAGCCAAGTTCCGCTCTCCTTGAGCATTGTCCCTTTCTCTCACAGTTCTTTCAACTTGAACTCGGGATTCATCTAATAAACGTTGTAACCGTAAATTCTGATTTCTACTATCTCTTAACTGATTTCCAAGATCCCGTTCCCAGTTATTCGTATCATTTAATATGTTCTGGTACTGATCACGCTCAGCCGTAATATTTTGCAAAGTAACCCGAATAGTATTTAACGAACCTCTAATACCATCTATAACATTAGCAGGATTCTGCATAGGCGTACCAACACCTCTAATATGATTTTCTATCCGCTCTAGTCCTCTATTAACGTTTGCAATAAGATTAGTCGTTGCCATATCTAAAGCATTTATTGAGATTTTTTTATCTATGAGAATCCGGATTCTTGCTTTAAGACTCCTAACCTTATTTTCGAGTTCTATGATTCGACCATCTTGAATAGACCCAACCTCATCTTTGAATTTTTTATCCTGTTGTAAAACCCTAAGCTGTTTTCGCAAGTCAGATATTTCTGATTTAAGTTTCTCTATCTCTTTTTCGTGGGCTATGATAGTATTATCCTGTAATGAGATAGTTCGATAACATTGCTCAAGCTCCTTCACGAGAGAGCAAACTTTTTTCTCATTGCTCTTATTAATAAAAATCTCATCTTGAAGCTCACTACGAAGTTCCTGATTCGTATCTAAAAGCTGTGAATATGCCGGATCAAACATGGTATTTCATCCTAATTTATAGTACTATCATAATAATCCTACCTTGAGAATGAGCCAACCACAGATTGTAATTGATCCCGATGAGGCTCGTAGTATTGAACGGAATCTGGTCCTGCGAGGGATCTATTATCGCTCTACTGGATATTTTTCTAATCCTAAATCCTTAAGAGAAGCATGTAAAAAAGAAGGTCATCGATTCCACCTAAAAGATGTGAAAGAATGGCTGGGAAGACAGGAATCTTACCAAATCTATAAATTCACACCCAAACATATTCCTAGAGTTAGTTATGGCCGAATTTCACATCCCAACAAAGTACATCAAGCTGATATATTATTTCTTACCCATGATCATTTCAGAGGTAAGACCTATAAAGCGGTACTTAATATAATAGACTGCGCTTCCCGATATAAAGCTTCTATTCCACTCACATCGAAGAATAGTTCAGAAGTTGCTAGAGCATTTAGAAAAATTTATGATGATCCTAGTAATCCTCTTACCTATCCTAAATTACTTCAAACAGATAATGGGCGAGAATGGATGGGCGAAACCTCCAGATTATTGCAAGAGCATAATGTCACAATTCGAGTGATTGGTCCATATTCCCATCGAGGTCTTGCATTTGTGGAGCGTTTCAATCAAACACTCTCGAAGATTCTATACAAGATCCAGTATGCTATTGAATCAATATCTTCTGACCCTAAACTAATAAGAGCATGGGTTAGATTTTTACCGGTAGTTATTAATTATCTAAATAACTATCCCACACGCCTTATTCGAGAACCAGGATCAGAAAAATGGGGACTTGAACCTGTGAAAGCAATTGCTTTAGAACGAGTCGAATCTAGACCATCTACAAAATATAAGCGCCCAGTTGGAAAAGATGAAATAACGTTAAAGAAAGGTGATAATGTCCGTTACTTACTTGCCAATGCAGAATGGGAGGGTGGAATGGAGAATCAGAAACGCGCAACTGACCCTATATGGTCGCCTTCTATTCATAAAATCCGAAAAGTTATTGTTATAAAGAATGAGCCAGTATTATATTATCTCGAAGGTGATGAATTTACACCATCACGCGGGTTTGTGCAAGAAGAGCTCATGTTAATAGTTGATCCAGAAAAGGTCGGGTATCCACCCCAAAGCATATTATCTGTGCATATTGTTTATGCTTCTAATAATGAGACAAATCAGGCTGAGGAATATGCCAGAAGACGTGGTGGTCAATGTCTTGGAAGGACTGGGCGAATAAATGGTCATGGTATATATCTTTGGTCTTGTGAAAATGGTGCGCATCAGTGGGAGTATCCACCAAAATATATCATGAAAAAATTTGAATGGTGTCCGCTATGCCATCATACTAGCGAAAGGAATTGCCGATACATTTTTGAGGATCTGCTAGGCAAAAAATTCCCATCATGCAGGCCAAATTTTTTGGATGGAATGCAACTCGATGGATATAATGAGGAATTGCGTCTTGCATTTGAATACCATGGTCCTCAACACTATCATCACAATAGTCTATATCATCGAGAGAATGAAACTTTAGAAATACAAAAGATACGTGATCAGAAGAAGCGGGACATCTGCAAGGACCAAGGTATATGCCTTATTGAAGTACCTCATACAGCTGATCTCCTGTCCTATATCAGACATACTCTAATTGAGAAAGGGTTCTTGAAAGAGGCGAAGTCTAACCCTTGGAAGTCCACGTATTTTTGAGCGAAATTTCACTAAGAAATTTGATATTATAATACTAGTATCGATAATATGAAAGTCGAAAAGCTTGATCCGGCAGAAAAATTCATTCTCCATGTTGATGAGATTAAAGATGCAAAAAGGTTTAACGGATTGAATTCAACTCCTCAATGGCCTTTTACATTACTAATTAGTGGTCGTACAAATTCGGGAAAAACTAATGAAGTCGTGAACCTATTATTAGGGAATAAGCTATATCGGATGTTTAATGGAAAAAAAGGTGGCACTAGATATATTTTGAATGATGACCTTATTTTGATCGGCCATCATCTTAACGAGCCGAAATATCTATATCTCAAATCTGGATATCAGATAATTGCAAATAGCCCAAAACCATATCGTGAAGATATCACATTCCGGGCTATGAAGCCTGATAAAATTCCAAAGATAGATTCATTTTCTCCAGAAAGAGGAACAGTTGTTATATTCGAAGACCTATGTGCTGATTCGAAAAAAGTCCAGGAGAAGATTGTTCCTTATTTTACTGAAGGACGTCACAAAAATATAAGCCCAATCTATGTAACGCAGAGTTTTTTTGATTGTCCGAAGCTAATAAGAAAAGAATTAAATTATATCGTACTCTTTAATGGGTCCACCTCGGATGAACTAGCCCGTATTCTTCGCCTATATGCCAATGATTGGCGTAACATATATGCGGATGTCGATAACTATTTGTGTGATCAGAACTTCATTGTCTTCAATTTGACAGTACCCCGAAATCATCCACATAGGATACGGAAAGGCTGGGATACAGCATTCCTTAGTGAGTAGAATCCCCCCTCAAAGCTATTGATGAAGTGAGACGAAATGTATATTTTTTCCGGATTTCTAGATCATGTTCAGATTCACTATGCCTCTTCGCCCATAATTTCCTTTCATGAGTGTTAGAATATATTTCCGGTTCTATAGTCACATCACTATGCTCCGTTTTAGAAAGGATCTGATCAACAAGAGCGATAATTTTCCTATCCTTAGCAGAAATAATATCCTCCAGATGCTGGCATTTATTCTCTAACATGTCAATGGACTTTTCTGCCGATGCAATAGCTTTCTTCGTATCAGGAATTATACTTTTGAATAAAGCTATCGAATCTGATAATTGGGTGACTTTCTCGCCACTCTCCTCCAAAGACCTGGTCATAGCTACCTCACGAGACTTATACTGCTCTTGCAATTCGAGAAGCTCTTCAATCTTTTTTTCCAATACCTGCTTTGATATACATAATTCCTCATTTTCTTGCCTTAACGAAGTTTCACAGTTGCTAGTAATGGGCTTCATCTTCTGACGCTCTTTTTGCTTAATATAATTTCCAATTGCCTTATTTAACAAATCTTCCACTTCGGGATGAATACTACTTGCCTGTTCTATCGATAATGGATGTTTTCGTGAAGTAAGACGTCGCCATGTATCTATTTTAATGGAACGGGGGAGCTGGTTAAGTTGCTTTGAGTAATATACGTGAAAAGTTGGTGTTAGTATACCGGTCATTGTTACAAATAAAAATTTTGAGAATTTTATAGATTCAGAAATTTTATAAGAAAATTTTGAGAATTTCTCCGAAGGTGCTTTGCTACGCGCCAATATCACGGATTGCGTCACATCAGATAGGAGATCTGCTAGAAAACTGATTGGCAAAAAATTCACGTGATTTTGGCAGGGGTGCCCCGGCTGAAATTTGCCAAGAATACATGATCATGTCTTTCGTGATATAGATAATAAGTTTTTAACCACTTCGTTTTGCAATTGCTTATCTTCCAATTTCGCAATTCTGGCCTTAAGCTCAGCATTCCTGGCTTCAATCTCAGCAAACTTCTTTCTAAGTTCGGCATTCTTGACTTCGAGCTTGACAATGCACATTTTCAATGAATCAGTCTCATCTATTTCGGATTGCATGCTAGCGTAATGTAGTATTAGTATGTTAATATTCAAAAAAAAATAAAAAATTTGCAGGATCACGCAGTCTCAGAAAATTGCCAAGAGATTTTTTATTAATAGTATATACAATCTATCTATTTTAACTTAATCAGATGTTACTGTTGAACTATCTTCTAAAATTCTACTTGATCTACGTAAAGGAGTACTGCGTAGTATGGACATGTTAACAATTAAAATATTCCGCAAAACCAACAAAGTTTTAATGAATTCAGCCAGAACAGAAGGTTCATACGTATAACGAATTGGAATCATAGATTCACGTAATTTGTAATAACGATGTACTTCAACCTTGTCTCTAATCAGAATATTCAGACATAGCTTTTGCCCTGCTACTTGCACCCCTATAATTCCGAATTGACCCTTCTCAGGTTTGCGACTTTTTTGGACCCAATACATTCCATCATTGGTTTCGCGCCATAATTTCACATTATCATCATCTTCCTTCTGCTTATTACAAAAAATTCGTGAGCATTCTATGTACATAAGTTCGTAAAGTTTATCACTCTCTTTTGACACAAGCATTATATCTGGCCGTCTTCCAGTGCGCCCGTCACCCCTTCTATCCGAACTTGCTATACTTTGGCGTTCGAAACTAAAAAAGAAATCAATTTAATATTCGTAACTTGCTATAGCAAACATAGAGGCGGGATATTGCAAAAACTTACGTAGTAATGAATGCATGTTCTCCAAAGGGGTTATCAAATAATGTAGCACGTATTGCGGAGACAACTACATTATTAACATAGGTACCCTCATTCATCGTTTTGACAAATTCAGGACCGAAAGCCGGATTGCACCAAACACTTTTCAACGTATCAAGAATTTTTAACGTGACCTCATTAAGCTTATTGCCACATTCCTTCCAGTTCCCATCATGTGTTAATCCTTCTTGCAACCTTGGTATACTTCGTGGCATGAAATTTGTTACGAATTTCACACATTCTTCTGTTACGCCTTGAGGTATTGTTGGGGGCACCATTTCTTCAACCGGTTTCTGGAATAAATATAATTAATTTTAGATGGTAGAAATAATCTAGATTATCTTCCACCGACAAGAAAAGAGAGCATTGGCGAAATATATGTACCATAAATTTTTTCTTTTGTTTTTTTGATAATTGAGCTACTAGTAACGAATCATCACTTATGACCTGACTAGCCAAAGGGATCTTCCAGGTTAGTTCGGAGATTGTTAGTCCATTTAAAATAACTACTAACTCCTGGCAAAGTTTTGATGTTCCAGCCTAAATAATACGAATACCTTATATTATTCTGACTTGCCAGCAATATAAAAAAAAGATAGTGCCACATACAGCAAGTTTTCCTTTCAACTTATTTATATTGTGTTTAATCTGTTCCGAAGTAAGAGGCTTCTCTTTATTCTGCAAGTCGAAAGATTGTTATTAAATATATTCATACCATCTACCCTTTCTTAAAACATACCGTTTTTATAACTCCAACGTCCTGCAAATTGCTAATACAATCAAAAGCAATATCAAACTAACGCAGATATACAAATAAGTTAGATAACCGCTGATGCATCAAATGAAAATATAAATAACCGCGCGGTCGTCAAAAAAACAAGACAAAGAAATCACTCGGTACGGCCTGGCTACACGAATGAAACTTTGTGTGGCACAATATTAACCACATTAAAACAAGCATGGACTTCAGCATAAATAACCCTCCACACCGTCGAGGAAAATCCTGTTGGTAGGCTAATAGGGTTTTTATACCGACATACTTATCTCCTCAGAAGTGCCACTATCTGCGTACTCATCATTCGATTTAATATGATCATAATATTTCACCTATAAAATAGCGTACCTGTGGTATAATTTGAATAAGTTTTCCAGAACGCTCAAAATCTATACCATGCGAGTTTTTTATCAAATTAACCACTTTTTCTACAACGCCTCTTAGTTCGTCTTTACTAATCCAAGGATTTTCTTCTAACCCTTGGTAAATAACGGAGCCTGCCATTAAATGTTCAGTCTTTACGCTGGTCAAATATTCTACAGTTTTTACGTATAAATATTCTGAAGACATAATGATGAAGGTAGTCAAAATATAATGTTAGAAGCTTGCTAAGCGAAATAAAAATAATGTAAATTTCAATACCTTTTCGCCATACTGCCTTTTTAAATGTCTTGTATTTCCCAATTACGTCCTCTCTAACTCACATTCATGTTGGGAAAAGAGATAGGAGAGGCACTTTACGCCAAAATTTTATGTTTAAGAGTAAGACATGCGGAATGTGCATTGTAGATCTCAACATTGCAAAGGCGTTGGGGAATATGCATATACGAACTTTTTTTATTTCACTTGCTTGACCGCTCAGTAAAGACCTAGTAGCATTATATAACTACACTCCGGCTGAAATCTAGCCTCTAGCATCGGAGGAAATAAACTCATAAATAAATGCTATTCAGATAGATAGGGAAAAAATTCGAAATATTTTGGGGATCGATTTCTTATGTGTGAAAATTGATTTGTTGCACAAGCAGTCACACAGAGTTACAGATGATTTGCAGAGTATCACCTATTACATCATATACCCTTTAACGAGGATCGCAAAACGTGTTTATTATATCACGCATGCATACAGCTGTATTTTATTAAGATGCAGTATTATTCGGGATCTCACAAGTGATACAGACTCGAACACTTGAAGCCTTGTAAATTATAGTCGTCTGACTGGTAGGAAAACTGTGTCTGGCCGATCTTTTCCCATCATTGATTAGCACCGTATATGCCCATTATTTTGTTTTGAGAATCTTCTAACCATACTTTAGGTTTATACCACCAGTCACTAGTTAGCCGACTATGGGATTTTATGGATTCTATGTCACGTGGTCCCAACATGTCCTTTCTAACAAAATACCTAAAAATGCGATTTTCTTCAGTATCAAGATAATATTTGGGATTCTGTGTCCATTTTACCATGATAGGCCATTCAAATACACCAGAAAGAAGTTCATAACCTTCTTGCTGTAATAATTTTTTAACAGGTTCAATGCTTAACCAATTTAATCGGTACGCTAATTGTTCTCGTTTCTCTTCTGCCCAAGTTCTAGCACCATATAAGGTGAGCCCATATAGATAATTTAAACAATAGATTTTCATGTTAAATTTTATTAGTTCCCCATTAATATAATAAAAATACTCATCACGAGGAATAATACCTAAATACTTCCATCTATTAGGAGTATCATCATTCCTCACCGCCTCCCAAATTCGTTTTGCCAAAGATTCAGGTCTCTTCTTGTAATTCCTGTAAGCTCGCTGGATAACTGTTGCATAGAAATTCTCAAACTGATAGTTATATTGTCTCACAATCAAGAATCCCCAAGAGCGTTTCATTGATCTTCCTGAACTTTTCGAAAAAAATATATTATATAATGCATGTCCAATAAATTATGTGAATAGTTATATATCAAGAATGAAATCAGTTGTGCTTAATGCTGGTCAAATCAGTTAGACAAACTTGATTACTGTCCCATTTCTCAACCTCATTGCAGTGCCTTTTGGATGATTGAGATTATAGTTTAGGGGTAATAAGTTATTTTGTTTTGCAAAGAGAGAAGAGATATATAGTTCGCTTGTATTACTCTTGCAATTTGGAGCACTTAGAAAAGCACATCTCTGTCTAATGCGCCTAATCCTTCTGCTGACATTTTCTAACCATAAAGCATAACTATATAGTTTTTCTTCAGCATAAATGCCAAAATTTTTTAGGATATAGTTATTATCAATTATACTAGTGTATGGTCCTCTGCGCCTGAATTTACCAAATTGATTTATCTGCAAATCATATTGATGGAAGCTCATCCACTTGTCCAATGGGATCCGCTGTTTCATTTCCATGTATTCTTTGAAATTTAGTTTACAAAACCTATTTCCGGTACAAGCAGTGGCCCAATGTTGATACATACCCCAATGTGTTCCATTAAAGCTAATGTCTCTGAATTTCTCAGTTATGAACTTACCCTCCAATGCGTTATAAACACATCTCACACCAACTGACAAGTGTTCTATTCCAAGATATATAAGTTCATTGCATGAGTAACAGATAGCCATTCCACAAAATGGATAGATTTTTTGTCCATCAACAAGATGTGATGATGCTTTGCGAGCATAAAAGCAGTCTTTCTCACCAAATGTATAATATTTTTTATTTCGAAAATACATTAGGCGATCCCAAATCCTATTTCTCCATTCAGACGGAGTTTCAGTATCGAAGATACAACGCATACCAATATATTCGATATGCTCCTCATAAGTACCCTCAAAACCACCGCCTAGTGGAGATTTAATCACACTTGTCATATTAATACACTTGGATATGCACAATAAATAAGACTTATAGCAAATTATAGCGATTTAGTGATTTATAGCTGATTTGGCAATAGTATACTCTAATAAATATCAGATTCATTTTTATTCGAATATTCGATTACAAGCATATCGGGATTTATATCCCTTCGGATTTTATATTTACATGCATATGCACAGCATCTTCGGCTAAATCAGTTTGTGGTATGATGTACTGTATATTGTATCACATGAGATCCCCCCTAAATCCTTACCAGTTCCTCGATAGTTCTGGGAGAGTTCTAGGCGCTGGCGAGTTTCCATAAATCACGAGATGATCGACCAATCAGATTCATTTTTATTCGACCGGCTGTGCATATGCAAATTATTTTATATTAGTTTGCGGATCCCTCAACCTGAGTGCCTTTGACTGATTTTTATTCGTCATACAGCATTTTACAGATACACAGCGATACACGGGCTGATACTCTTGGACTATGGTCAAGGATACAACCGAACCGTTAATGCTCGGAACTTTTTTCAGTATTCTCACCGGCACTTTTCACATTACGGTATGTCGTGGTCCTATTTGATATCTGGTGGGTAAGACTTCGAGATGGAATAACATTTCGGCAGGAAGAAAATAAATGTGAATATATGCGATTCATACCCCTATTCTTTCGGCAAAAATACAATATTCTGCGAACCGAGTTCATTGTGTAGCGCAGTAAATACTGTATATACTTTGCAAATTGATCAATATACCTGGCTAATTTTGATATTGATGCTACTGTAAAAAAATAGAATATTTTACACTATGTAATGAAAATGCAAGCCTGATGTGAGTAAATTACGCACTATTAAATAAAATAACTATGTACGATTGTGAAGATCATATGATTAAGTCTCCGATAAAATAAATTTTATAGAGCAATGTTCATGCGGTAAAGTACAAATCTGTTTACTACAATGTAATATAATATGATATTTAAAGAAAGACGTAACTTCTCTTATCATCATAATTAATACTACACGAAATTACACAAGCTCATCATCCATTTTTTGGGCATTCCTACAGAATAACGACCACCGTCTGGATATACGACTACCAATCCAAGCTCCACAGATTTTCGTTTTAATTCTTCTGGAAAAAGCGAGCCACAAGCGACTCCAACTAGTTCTTTATCCGATAATTGTTTGAATTCGGGATCTTTTGCCTTCTTCAATTTCTCGGGGAATTCCTTTAATCGTTCAACAATTTCGTTTATCTTTTCCTAAAAATGTTGGATTGATCAATGAGCTTGTTCAACAGATTCATGAGAGTTACATCAAATTAATCATTTTTATATTTACCTCTGTTATTTTGTGTTTGCATTCACACAAAAATACTTTGTCACGACATAATAATATCCCGTCCCATTCCATTATGGGATTACCTGTTTCATCATGCATTATTCGGCTAAAGACCTCAACAGGAGACTTAAATGTTTTTTTGAGCTTGTTTTTTAAAGCCGATGTTGTTTCAATCTCCACCACCATGTCTTCAACTTTCGACCACGTTACGCCCTTCTTTATGGCCATGAGATACGCAGCACTTATACAATAAAGTTGATTAGGTTGAATGCCTTCAAAAGTCGAAATGACTTTTGGTACTTCATTATTATCATCGATATGTTTCAACCCTCTTGCATCCACTCTCTTTAAAAACTCGCGAAAACCATTTTCATCATGCATTGTAAATTCTTCAAATTTGTCTAATGGCTCGCCTTCGTCGTTGTAACATTGGACACGAAAAGTTTTCTCTTCCTTAGCATGCACTTTGTGTACTAAAAATAAAACCGGTTAGCGCGTCACGTTCGAGTTGACCAATCATTACGACGCAAAGGCTTACCTCGATGTTCATCTAAATTGGGTTAGGAGACCAAAAAAAGCAAAATTAGTTACTGGACAAGAAATTGTGGACGCGTCATGACCAATCATTACGACGCAAAGCCTTACCTCTTTGTTTGATACATCTCCTCAAGTATTCAACTTTCACTTTGTCTTCTTCAATTGTTGACAGAACTGTTTTCACTTTATCCGTTTCAGACGTGTCGTTATAAGTGAAAAAATGGAGTATGTCTGCTTTTTCTTTAATATCGAAAGAAAGACTGTTAATATCCGTAAAGATAGTACTTGTATTATTAGACATTTTATTTTGTAAGTTAGGAAACAGATAAACTTTAAAAAAGAAAAAATTTTCTGAAGAGAGTTTTATTGATTATATATGTGATTCGAACAAACTTTTATTAAACTTCATTGAATATATGAACGCGTTGTAAGTCTGAATAAACTTTATTAAACTTCATTGATTAAGTCTGAACTCAACATCGTATCATTAGTCATAGTGAAATATTTTGATTACATACTCATGATTATCAGATATAGCAAAATGAAATAAATGAAATAAATGATGCTATCAAAGAGGGAGGGATTACGCGGATCCTAGGGAGTCCCAGCATCAAATTATTTCTTTGCTCGAAAAATATCTATAGCGATAGCTAATAAAATTATTTCTCTATCTATACGCCTATCTACTTTGCTAACTACGAGATTCTCACCTCATACTCTTTTACTACACTAGATTTCCGAAATAAATTATCATACCCATAACTACGCCTATCTATATCACTAATTTCACTCCCACTCACATAGACTATGTAAAAGATTAGGTTCCGTAAGAGAACTTTTCCATGATATATTAATTTCGAACCTATAGAACCAGAGAATAGAAATAAGTATATGCCCATAATTTTTAACGTTACAATTCATTTAATCTTTACCATGATAATTCATTTTTGTAGCATTCCACTCCGCCAAATATTTGAGAAAATTATTGCTTAATGTTTTTTGGATCGAAAGATTGTTTCTTGATTTTACTGCGCCAGATGTTGATATAAGACATGTCACAATTTTACTGCGCTGATGGTGCTGATTAGATTAGATAATATCCCATCACCGGGGAATTGTTTTATGATTAAAATTTTATTAGATATACTGCGCCAGACTTCGAGGCATGTGTCAAGAATCAGGTGAAAATACTAAGCCACAGCAATTTGATTAGACACGTGCCGATTTTCTCAACGAATCAAGAAAGGTAATACGTCCATTTTATTTTTGAGCATCTATATAGGCGGGAAAATCGATGAATATCGTGATGACGTTCTTCCGGAATCTAGCCAATCAATAATCAACCCACCTTATTATTACTTTGCGCGTTTGATTGATTGTGGATATTAATGATGAATATAACGGTAAGTTTGATTAGTTTCGTTTGTTATTTTGTTTTACTTGCACAAGGCGGATAAAAGAGTTCACTAACTAAGACTTCACCTTTTTATATAATTTGCAGGATCGATTTTGTTATACACTTTTGGGGGAAATTACGTTAATATGAGCGCATCACGAAAATCTGATCAACGGACTCTCATTAATATAATAATAAAAGAATTTAACGCTATCCATATGTAAAGATCATCAAGGGGTCCTTTACAATAATATACGTATATACGTAATAATTTTGAGAATATGCGAGAAAGTTTGAGAATAAAAATCCCTGGATCTTCGCCGACAATCTTATTGCCCAATAATTTGCCGATCCAGATTTCCTAAATTACCTGTATTAACATGCGAGTAATAAAAAATTAGTACTGTATGTACATTGAATCGCCACGAGAAAAATATTTGACTACATTGTTCGAGTCACTTAGTGGCCTAAACGTTTTTTATTTGCAATACATTAAGATAAAATAAATTGCATGATGTGGGGCTAGCCCTGAGTATATGATGCCATTCTATAACTTTAGACTATTTATTATACACGATTATTTTTTCGAACGATATTCATCTATTCTAGTTTTTTCCCTAAATACATGCTGTGTCATATGATAATCGTGAAGACTCTTCACACTTCCAACCAATAGAAGCAGGATCTACTGGTAATTCAATGACGTCTTACTGCGCATAACATAATGTAAACCTGCTGTATCGTAACTACGTTTTTTAGGATTGCGCTGGATGGATGTCTGCAGTTGGACTGCATTCTGTGCAATACCTTGATTGATGTCCTCTTTTTTCGCCTCGGTAACTGTGATGATTGTATTTCCCACTTTTATGACACAATCAACTGGTCCTTTGCCATGGCTTCCAGAAATTTCGTATTGGGGATAGACTTTCACCTCACCATCAAAGATTGATGCAACACCGTAAATAATACGAGAAATAAACTCGCAACGAGTGGCTTCATTGGCGCTAGTGATGTGTTGGGATGTTTTGTGTAATCTCAATAATTCTTCTATAACCAAACTTCGAATCTCTTTCGGAGTATCCTTGACACCTCCATCAAAAATTGATAATCCGTTATAATCATCTGCCTTCAAGCCGAAGACTGCCTTCATCTTTGGGAAAGTATACGAAGAGAAAGGTTGTTGCGCTACAAAACAGTCATGCATAAATTAACTGATCAGACATTTGGTAGAATCGGCACGTGAATATCCTAAATATCTAGATAGTACTTACACGTATCCACAACAATTTCCAGATCCACCTTGGGGTTAGTAGTCCAGATAATACTCATTAAGTCCTCATCGGCAGAAAACTGAATAACTTTACGCTCTGTCACGATCTCAACCGTATCACTTTCTACCGTTGAACTCTGGGAACTTGAATCTGATTTTCTACGCATTTTACCTGTCGAAATTTTTCTCTTCAAACCAGCGCCACCTATCACACGACTTATTACGATGTGCTCGTTCTCTGTCCCATCCGGAAAGGTTAAATATTCACAAAGCTTCTTCTTAAAACCTTCCAACGTCACCGTTTCTCGGGTCACTGTCCATTGAAAATTCGCACTCTTACGCCCATACGTTGCGGTACAGTGGACTTCTTTCGTTTCAACAGGACGCTGTACGATTATATGTATGTGCTCGTCGGCTGGTTGGGAAGGAAAGTGTTTGCTAATCTTCGAAAGTGGAAGTAGTTCCACGCCACCAAGCTCCTCCTTGATATTAACGTTTACTTTTGTGTTGACGAGCTTAAGTTTTTCGTTTTCTTCTTCGAAGGAAATGTCGACCTTCCATAGCTTGAGGTCTTTTGCCTTAACATTATCATCAATTTTTTCCTTGATAGCGTCCTTGAGTTCACTAACCGCCTCTGTTTTATTAACTTTTACGTTGAAAGCATTTTCATAAGGGTTTTCTCCTACGACCAAACAACTGAGAGTGACAGTTGACATAGCGTTACGTTTTTATAGGGATAATTGGCTCGGATAAAAATAGTGTTACGTTCGGAGAAAAAATAGAGTTGTATTTCTGGTGGGAACGTAAGTGTTAATATAGGTTTTTATGTAGTACAGACATACACGTGACCCGCTTACTCATATAATAATACTTTATTTATGAAATAAAATGTTGCCGGAACCCGGCCTACAATACATAAAAATTGCGAATGGATCGCATTACATGATATAAAAATAATTATTAATCTTGAGGGTATATGAGGACGTGAATAACACCCCTTTCACCGTTTTCTTGAAAGTAAGGTGGGCTTTCTATGAGAGTATTGATGCGCAAGGTAGAGAAATAATTAGAAATTTCTCTATGTGGAACCATAAACACTCCTTGTCTAATCGCAATACTGTTTACAGAAGAGACTATGGAAAAATTGGGCTGAAAAAAATTAACTTCATATAGATCGAAGTTTTCTTGACGTAAGTCTTGCCGGACATTTCTGATCTGATCTTTCAGAGCACCAACAGACAAATTATTATCAATTTCTACATCGAAAATGTTATTAACGGTTCCACCACGAAGAAAGCAGTTAAGACGAATAGAAGGCATCTTTCCTAAATACAAAGCCCATAGTGAGATTTTCATTCCCACACATACATAACTTCTGGTATATACATACCTTAGCGAAGCACTTACAGGTAAATTTTTGCGGAAAGTTGGCTGAACTTCCACATACCCCTACATGCTTTATATCTTGCTGGGAAAAAGAGCGCCAAGCCGAAGTTAAGGAGGTATGAGGCGTAATTAGTATTGTCGTCTGATGCCAAGAGTTCTATGAAAGCACATGTAAACAGAATTTTCAAACCTTTTCACATGGAGATCTACCGGAGAGACGCATAGTTGGTCTTACGCCTGGCGATCTCGAAAATGTGAGTCCCTCAGCCCTTCATAACATATGCTTTTGACGTTAATATTTACTTTTAGAGCTGGTCCTGTGTTGCAACTAGACGCTCTTTCATATTTTTCTCATGTTTGTTTGGGAAAAATAAAGAATAAAGGTTAATATGTTTTCTTTTCGAATGTATATGCAAAATTAATGTTACACGAACCCTGTCTAGTGATCGCCTATTTTTGTCGCACATGAGTACATGTATTGAGGCTCAGCAAATTCTTCCGAGCTGGTGATCACTGCTCCGGACTACCTTCGCTCGGGTTAGTTATCCAATGTATACCTCTCAATAAGTATTGTACCCCATTCAGATTAGCAATACCGGACTGACTAATATAATCTTTAAACCCAGTTATAATACCAGTTACTGATTCTTTTTTTGCCTGAATAAGCATTTCTACCAATTCACGATAATAAATATTTTTTGCAATACATCTCATATTTTCTCGTGTTAATCCACTATAGAATTCACTTCTAAAATGACCTTTACAGAGTTTGATGATATCATTACTTTTCTTCGCCTTTAAACAGTAATCCACTATTGATTCTTCACCTTGAATAAACAATCTACATTGGAATTTCTCAATACCTTCCGGCCATATTTCCCATCGAAGTTTATGCGGATAATATGGCAATTCTATCAGACTCAAAATATGTGGAAGATAGAAAGCATCGGAATGTATAAATACATGGAATAATGATGATGGATTTCTTACATTGGGCAGACTATGTACAAATTGCTTAAGCGCTTTCTCTTTCCAATTCCTAACTGCCTTTGTCCCCCAGTAGGTTTTGATTGTGCAAAAAAGGTCGTCCCAGTATCTCCACTCATCAGGATTCCTTTCATTATCCCATTCATATCTCGATCCATATTCTTTGATAAATTCATCGTAGCCTTCTTCTATCTCGGTATCTATCTCATCATCTGACATTTTGCTAGTAGATTGATTAAATATTTTCAATCGGAAAAATAGGTTAATCATCGCTTGTTTCTGTCGTACATGAGTACATGCATTGTGGCTCAGCAAAAAAAATTCTTCCGAACTGACGATCACTACTCCAGATTAGTTAGATCGGTAGAGTACCACCATTCTAATTGATCGGCTAGTATTCTACCGAAATTAATCCTTGGCGATCGTCTGTTAGGTTGCCGGTGTATCTGAGATATGACCGAATTCTGATTATTATTAACACTATGCCGGGTGTTATATAACCGACCACCACTCCGGAGCGATGTTCTAGCTAGAATACAGCGTTCACTCAATCTCCTTGATAATTCGTCATTGATAAAATTATTTAAGGATGCAACATCTCTTGGCTCATCATGTGGTATTCCCAGTTGCCTTGCAAGTCCATGGATTACATCTAAAGCTCCATTATTTTGGGGAGGTACCCGAATCGGCACAAAATTCTCGACATGAATATTTGGATTAAGTGAAATGAGCTGATCTACGGCTTCTTTGCTAATATTATTACACCCTTCCAAATTGAGGTACTTTAAATTAACACATGAACCAGTAATTTCTTTGATAGTTATATCGGTAATATGACAAAAGCTAAGGTCGAGTTGCTGGAGCCTTGGGCAAGAACGAATAACATTACAAATTGATGTTTCAGAAAACTCTGTACGTCTAGAAATATTTAGACATTCTATTTTATAACATGAATTCGCGATTGCACATAGGCCTTTATCATTTCCAAATCCACTGCATAAAGCGGATATATTAAGATACTTCAAATTCGGGTATGATTCTGCTATTAGCTTTAGAACTTTACCAATAGACTCAGGCTTCATACTCCCTCCAAAATCTAAATGTATTATATTTTGGAAAGTATGCATAATGCCTTTGATTTTTTTATTTGAAAGTGAATGATAGTCCGATATTTTGAGATGAGTTAGTTTTGAGCTATAAACTGGTCTTCCTCCTCCACGTACTATTTTAAAAAATCTTTCCAATCGAGATCTATCGTCTACTTCGTTCCCCTTTAGCTCAATGCGTCTCCATAAAATAGGACCACCGCATCTGTACCAAAGCCGGCAAACAAATAGGGCAGGATACAATGTCTTATTTACTGCTAGGAAATATAGAACCTGCTCTAATAGTTCTGGTATATTAAAAATACTTGAATATGCCATGAATAATATATGCTGTATCTTTAATCGAAAAAATAAATTCTCTAAGCTTAATGATCATGCAAAGCACCTTCGGCCTGCTCCGAACTAAGCCTTTTCACTATCTCATCTAACGAAAGTACTAATTGTCCATCCACTATCTCATCTAACGAAAGTAGTAATAGCCCATCCAAACGAACTTTAAATTTATTCTCAGGTGATAATCCTCTGATGAATAGATTTTTAAAAAGCCATTCTGGATAGTCTTTGCTTAAATTACACTCTTTCAGTTTCGAATAATATTCCTTTACTGTATAATTGCCTTGAACTATTCTCCCAAATAAAAATTCCATCCTTTTGTGCCATTCAAGATTCGCCTCTCTTTCCCATATATTATTTATACTGCGAGAATTCTTTAGTTCCTGTTCTGGAAGATACTTTAGAATAAATGATATTATCTCCGGCGGAAGAAGATCAAGTAAATTGTCTGTATGCATTGCTTTATTTATATAGTTAGAATACCTTTCGATCAGAAAAAAATAAGGCTAGTAATACACGATCACTCCGGACTATAGGTTGGACTGGGAAAATCCGTCATAGCTCGGATTTGACTATCAGATAATGTCGAAATATAGTCTACTTCTTTGAATGGGATCGCAAAATTATTGTCAAATAATAGATTTGAGTTGCATATATCCAAAGTTGCACCATTTTCTTGAAACCAAGGTCCTCCTAAAATTAAATCAGGTCCCGACCACTCCAGTCCAAGAACTATGAATTCAACGGGTGTGCTTTTATGTTTCTTGCTATCATTAAAGCCGATATGCAGATCAACCTTTCCTAATGTAGAATAGGATGCATCCGGAGTCTCAATACGATTGCTTTCACTGTGATATGTAATTCCTAATTCACCAATATGTTTTTGGCTAATGCAATTTACATTGGCGCTCGTATCAATTGATGCCTCAATAGGAATATTTTCTTCGACTACACAATTCACGAATACCATTTTTATTATGGCATATATAATATCCAAATATAAAAAATAAACCTCTATCATCGCTCTGGACTGGCATTTATCGGATAGCTAATTAGCCTTATTTTTTATTATATGCGTTTTTCTCCTGATCTTTCTTTTGGGTTAGGCGCTCCCGAATCCTTTGATGCTTAATCATGTTTACTATTTCATCAATATCAGAATCGGATGAACTGGACTCAGATGAGCTTGATTCAGATGAACTAGTCTCGGAGGAACTACTCTCAGATGACGAACTAGATTCAGACAAACTAGTCTCGGATGAGCTTGATTTAGATGAACTACTCTCAGATGAAGTAGACTTAGGCGGGATATTGGTTAAGGCTGTTAGACGCTTTTGATCACTTTCCATTTTGATTATTTATATGCTAAACTTAATAACTTTGACTGAAAAAATATGCAAAGTGCCTGACTCGACCCACTTCAAACTACAATCTGCTTAACCTTTCTCGGTCGTGCCTTCCTTCGTTGCTTATGAGGGATATCCTCGCTCTTTCTTATCACATTTGTCTCGACCGAATCAGATCCTTCAGAAGATTCAGACGAATAGGAGGAACTCCCTCTATGCACAGCGCCTCTCGACCCTTTTTTACCAATAAGCGAGGGAACTATTTCATGTATTATGTCAACCACAGTTTCCCTATCCACACATTCATCCAGATCTTCCACTACATATTCGTCCAGATTTTCCAATTCGTCTTCTAAGGATCCTACATCTTTTTCCAGTCTTTCTACCCTCTTTTCTAAAGTGTTATATTGGGAATAATAATCTTCCAATTGTTTCTTTAGTGCCCTATTTTCACTGGAAAGCGCACTATATACTTCTGCATTTTGCTCATTTAGTCCAAGTGTCTGGGCTAATATCTTCGTATATCTGATAACTTCCTGCTCAGTGGACGTACTATCAGATAAATTATTTTGATCGGTTACCATTTTCGTGATATACTGTATTATACTATATGCTAGATCTTGCCTCGAGCGAAAAAAAATTAATAAATGATATCAGGTTAGCTTTGCTAACCCTCCCGACCCTCTAACCCATATACAGTATGTGATTAGTTTTCATCAGAAATCCAGAATGGTTTTGCTTGATCATAAGGTTGCCCCCTCCTTCTGAAATTAACTATAGTATATCTATCAGATGGAGAAGCATGGTTATTCGGCGAATGTCGAAGGGCTTCACTGGCATAAGTATTGGCTTTTGACGGATTTTTAGGCCCATGGACTACCAAAGCAAATACCGCCCCTAATTTGCGCAAGGAACTAGGGAGTAATGGCTCATAAGGTTTAGGAATATATTCTTCTTTTTTCAGAAACGAACTTAAGTATGTCGATCCAGGTTTTCCTGGATCTCTTAACTGTCTGGAAGAAATTGCTTCCTGAATCCATGTAAGCAATTGCCTTGCTCGCTCCTCATTTTTTTCCAGCGATCTGAACACCCGAGGAACATCCTGTTGGCCTCGGTTTTTTGCGTATCCCGTTACGCCCCCATTTGCTATGCGCAAGTTTTTAATTTCAGTAGGGCGGATACAGAGCATAATCATTACATCAGCTAGGGCCTGTTTATCGGGTGTGTTAGACACAACATATAAATCTAGCCGTTCCTTAACCGATTCTAACGAGAAGTGGTCTGGATAATGGAGTCCTTCATTTTTACGTTGCTCAGTACGCTTCTGTTGGATTTTATTAGATGCTCTGGTTATCTCCGAAATCTTGGTGGCAGAGATTATCGCCTCCGAGGTGTTAAGCTTCCGCAATTCTCTTTGAAGCCTGGAGAGTCGTGATGAGGCAATGATAGGATCAGAGGCCGTTTCGACTAAGGTTCTTGATATCGTTTTTACATTTCTTTCACTAAGATTATCCCGAACAATGCGCTGAGCTATTTCTTTAATAGTCTCCCCTTCTGGGGTATTCTCAGATACTAGGCTTATATTAACTTCAGCTTCTGAAGGCGCTAATCCTAATTCCTCTAGGATCGGTACTTGACTTATATACCGCCCATTTCTCTGGTCAGGAATCAATGCAAATGCCTGTTCTTTGCTAAATTTATACCCTTTTTGAAGACGATTACGGGTCTGGCGCCTTTTCTCTCTATCTTCTCCCAAGAGGTCACGCATTTCTGGCGCATACTGACTGAGCTCTTCGATACTCATCTCATTGGTAAGCTGGTGGTCTGTAACGAACTTGGTTGTAATTGCAGACATTATGTGGTATGTAGATTATATGTAGTAGTTAGATAATCTGTGGTATTCAGATTATATTAAGTGGGATAAAGTTCAATTCGAAAAAAATATTCCCCCATTTCACTACCTCATGGTCGGTGAAAGCTATCGGAGGATTGGAGGAGCGAAAAATAATAATATAGCTTATGCTGAGTGTTCACTACGTGAATCCACCCACTATGGCCGGGTTTTCTCTGCAAACATTTGAAAATTGCGGGTAGATAGGATATGCGAAAAAAAATACATAGTCATGGAACCCCCATTCCAAGGCTATGAATGATCTAAGACCAAAATGTTATAGTAATATTTAGTAAAACGTTCGTGCTAGAGTTAATATATGTTCCGGCCCTAAAACATCTGTCTTGATAAATGCATCGCATAAAGCTCCCGGTCTATACTTTAAAGGAGCTAAATTCAGATGATGGAGGAATTTCATGAGTACATTACTCCTCCAAGCTTTCGTCTCTTCACGCTCCCAGCATAATTTTAATAGTTGACATAAAGTAAAATCATGCCAATTAGCTTTGAGTAAAATCTGCAATAGGCTTATTTTTTCGTTAACCACTGCTAGTAAACTTCTTTCCGATACAATGTTCCAGATACGATATGAAATGAAAGAAAGATATCTTCTTAATATTGGTAATTCATGTAAAGGCGGAATCAAAAGCCTTTCTTCTCTCCAATGGATATAACCACCACATAATAATTTACGATACACTGGCCCATTTATAACTATCATGCGATTAGATTTGGGGTTATAGATTTTTTCGTGAGCGGGCTCGTATTCTGTCAATTGGCCTGATATGTCCATGGCGTTAGTATGAAAAGTCGTTTATGACTTATCTTAATACCGAATAATTTAAATATACATTTTATTATAAAATTAAAAGTGAAAAGGCTTTTATATCCTAAAATACTTACTGTACATGGATCGTGTTACTTGCCCGCATATCAAGAGAGATGGTTCCATTTGTGGAAGAGTCAGTACTCGTATTACTGGCTGTGCAAGGCACTGGAAATTATATGAAAAAAATATGAAAAAAAGACCCTGCCTTATTTGTAGATTTCCTACTGATGCTGATTCAGGTATTGCGCCAAATATTGTTCCAAATATTCTGCAAAGTTTCATGCACTGAATTATCGAATGAGGCAGAAGTATAAGGCTGAGACCCGTCAACTCGGAATCCCTGAAGCTTCAATTTTCGAACTGGGTGATGGGAATGAATCCCTTCAACCCAGAATCCCTGAAGCTCCAATTTTCGAGCTAAGTGATGTGGCTAGACCCCTTCAACCCAGAATCTATGAAGCTCCGGTTTCTGAGTCAGATGATGAGGATATAGGTCTAGGTCTATTTGGGGATTAGGGGTTAACTCGAAATTCAGAGCACTAGGAAAGTAAGCAAAAAAAATATATCATTCATTAGTCGATTATTATATAAAATTTTGGTAGAAGCCCACGTCTCAAAATATGTGACTATATATCCTGGCCAGAGTGACGCAAAGTTAGAGATATTTTTTTAATAATATATGCCGAAAAATGAAGGCTTCTGCGGAATTATATTATATAAAAATGGCAGAAGCCTTCACTTACCTGATACGTAATCGAATGGTATTAGCATATATCAAATAAGTCCTGAATATCTTCTGTATTTTGCGTATTATCCACTTTGCTAGAGCTAGTAAAATTATCTAATATCAATTCATCGGGTGGGAGTTTACTATACCCATACCGAGTATCTTCACCATTTACCCAATAAATTTCTTCGCCCGTTTGATATGAAGGTAATCTAGGAGCATCTTTACTATCAAATGAACCTACTAGGTGGTAATGTCTACAATTCTTATCTATAGCCTTAAATTTTAATCCATAAGTTGCGTAAAGTGATGCATTTAATAAACCAAGTTTTGCCCGATCTGTTTTCAATCCCGATTTTTTAGCTCTGCGCGATGCATCTGTATTATCAAATACTCGAGCCATTTTGGGTACTAAATCCTGGAGATATAATATCGATTTAGGAGAGTTCATGCGCGTTCTAACATCATCAGCTTTATATCGTGCTCTATCGTCAACGTCTTTAGCGGGTGTACAATTTCTTAGCAACTCCAAGCAGATACTATGTCTCTCAGCTCGGGTCACGGTTGCGAGTCTATCCTCTCTGTAATCTTTACGGGTAATAGCCTCAACAGCCGTTTCATTATCAGTGCCAGCGTCCCGTAACTGTCTATAAGCTCTAAACCATTTCATATGATTATAATTCCCATACTTCGATATGAATTCTTCGGTCAATGATTCAGGCGGAATCTCATAACATTCTACAATATGATGCCGGTCTAAAGATTGCATTTCCTCTAAAGTCTTCTTCGGCTTATTTTCCAAAACCTCAGCTATCTCATGATCAAGAATACGGGCATTTGATATATCTGAGATTTCTTCTGCTTTAATGATAGATGAACTCACCCTTACTGTCTGGGATAATGATATCGTATTATCTTTAGGTTTAGGCATAAGTTCTATGATAGAAATTACCATACCTGCATTTCGGAGAAAATCAACCATCCTCCAACCAAATAATCTTCGGGAACGGAATTTTTCCAACATGAATGCCACCCATAATCGAACAGTTGGTACGTCCTTATTCCGGATAATAGAATCTACATCTGGGAATATTCCTCTATTCTGGAGTTCTCGGGGGAGGCATTCACGTTTAGCATTCAACAACCATCGAAATAACCCATCTTCTGTAATGGGGACGTTAGAAGATCTTTGTTCGATATGGCATATATAATCTTTAATGCACCGCATGTGGAATAGCATCTGATTCGTTCCAGCGTTCGTTTCTATATAACTGTTAAAGATGCAGAACGCCCGTTCGAACTTGGGATTAGTGCAAGATACTCCTATTTTTAAAGTACTTGTATACGCACCTAGATCAACATTGCTCCATGATTCTTCTACGTTACTGAAGTCGTTAGCCTTTTCTTCTGGATCAGATTTACCATGATATTCTTTGATCCTCAATTCCGGAAAATCGGTCTTGAGAGCACGAACGATCCCTTGCACATCCTTTCTGAGATGACAGATGAGTGATGCACTTGTTCGTTTATCAGAAGGTAGTGAAGATATTCTCCTAGCCCAATCCCAAAGTTCGGCTAACACAGTTTCTTTATTAGAGGCTAGGCGGAATGTTTTCCCTTCCTGTGGTTGATAAGTATTGTGGATAACTGAGAATAGTTTATCCTTGCGAAGGGCCTTAATCCATTCGATATTTAGATCAGTAAGATCATTATCCATGACGATAATACGCCTAGCCTCTTGGATTAATTTATATAGTTTCTCTATTGATTGACCCGCCAAATGACCTTGTGCCTGAGCAATTATAGATACTATTTCATCAAGCCATAAATCATATTGGCTTGGAGAACATTTACATTTTTTATTACATTTGCAATTATTAGTAATACGGTGTAAACTTTCTATCTGACATACTACCCTCTTATGATCAGGTAGATTTATATTACTATCGATATCGCAATATGATTTGAGATTGAGTCTTGTAGTGACGGCATTCGAGTAAGAGTGGCGCGTAGATAATACTAGCAAATTCACATCGTCAGATATAGTAAGATGCTCGAGAACATATGTTTTTCCCGTCTCCCAAGGCGATCCTACATAGATATCACCTTCATCCGGTAATGGTCTTACATATCTCTCGTCATATATTTCTGTCGCTGAAAGGGGCTCATTATACTTAACCCAAGATGGGAATTTTAAGAAGGCTTTAGGAAAACCTAAGCCTTTTATCTTGCTAGGCGCCGAAGATATATTTTTATTTTTTTGCTGAATTTTTTCCGCAATAGATGGGTCGCATTCAAAAACTTCCCCAGGTTCATCACTATTTTGCCGAAAACATTTCACAATAAATGTACCACTAGCAGATACATGTCCGAACCACCGCTGATCCTTGTCATGTATATGTTTACATAGTGGACATTCTAGTGAAGCTTTCCGGTTAAAATATACGAAGTATTGTGAATCCTTTTCTTCGATAGTCCAATTCCTAAGATAGTTAAAATGCTTTTGCAAAACTAAGTTCGCGCATTTTTGTAATACATCCTGACTTACAATTATCCTTAGTGGGTTGTTATTTTTTTCTTCACTAAGTAGCCGGGGTCTTACTTCGAGGCCTAAGTTAGTAGGTGGTTGGACTCTAACGTGATCGAGTTCATTCCACCCATTATCTAGTGAAAACTGAAGAATTCGTTTCACGTGACCTTTTTTTGCCGAACCAATAAGGCGAAGGTTAAAATTATGACCAGATAGATTCTGATCAATAAACTTGCCAAATTTTTCCCCAGTTAAGGTATATACTAATTCGGTGAATGATTTAAGCTCTTGGTAAAGCTCCGCATGAGCCGAGCTGGCTTGTGAGCTGGCTCAAGCTTTTCAAGCTGAGCCGAACTGAGCCATAATTAAATTGGCTCGTAGCTCACGAGCCAGCTTGAAAAGAGCTCAAGCCGGTAATAGGCTCAGCTCAAAAAGCTCAAGCCGGTAATAAATCAGTTCAAAAAAGCTCGAGCCAATAATAAGCTTGGCTTAAATAGCTCGAGCTGGCTCGATTTTAAATTACTAAAATTTGATATAAAATATTGTTTATTTTATTATTTTATTATTTATTATTTAAAATTTAACATTTAATAATCAAACTAACAATAGATATAATTTTACTTTTATATTAATCATTTACAATAGTTATTCCACCAAAACCCGATTTCCACCATCCTTTAAGACACATTACTTTTTGAATTGATTCATCTTTAAGACTACAACGTTTTTGAACAACTAAATCGGTGCCACCTGAGAAAATTCGCTCTACAGGTGCACTAGTGGCTATAAAAATAATAAATTATATAAATAAAATAATTAATAATAGTTTATTGATCGGTAATTTACTATTTTGATATATATATATATATTAACCTGGAATAGATAAGTAATCACGCGCCATTTTAGACAAATTCGGGTACTCCACTTCGTGCGCCTATAAAAATTAATTTAATAACATTAATAATATAAAATAATAATATAATAAATAATATTATTTATATACCTTCCACCATGCAAGAATATCTGTTTTTCCGGGAATTATTTTTTCATCTAAGTATATACTTAATTCATCATTATTTAATTTCCGTTTCTTAAATATATGACCGAAAATTTCATCATCATCATCATGTGATTCTTCATTATCTGCACTATTTACTTTATACGTTGACTTCCATAATTCAACAACTTGTTTTTTGGCTTCTTGAATAAAGGATTCCTCCCATTTATTATCCCTATAATATTGAAGTTTAAGGCGAGGATCCATCACTATTTAGTAATAAATTATAAGAAATAAATTTAATATTTAAATATCATAAAATTAGACATAATGATAATGATAAACTTGCCTGTTGCTACTGTATAAACTAATGCACCTGTAAATGCATAATATTGTTTTATTTTTTCGATTGATTCATTTAATGCTACTACAACTTCATTCTCTTCGCCTTTTTCACTTTCCTTTTTTTCATACTCGTCTTCAAGCTTATCTAGCAAATAGTTGTATATAGGAACACTATACGATAACGTTGGATATTGCTGTCCAGTGCTAAAATTAGTACTCTTTTTAAAACACTGTAAATAAAAAGATAAAAAAAGATTTAATTTCTTGAAAATATTTTTTTTATTATTTTTCGTGTATATTATTAATCAATAAATAACTAACCTGCAATATCTCATGTACTTCTAAAATACAATTCCATTCCTCTTCTGAAAGTATATACTTTCTTAAATCTTTATCAGCTGATGCGGTATTATGAAGAGGCTGTATAATTAATTATTAATTAGAAATTTAATAATTTTTTAAAAAAATTTAAATAATAAAACTAATATTACTTGTTTTAATTCCAATGCACGTGTTATCATGTCATCAGTCGAATTCCATCGCGTTGACACATCCGGGATAAGTTCAAGTGGTTTAATATTAGCAGCAATACATTGTTGCTTAAGTTTTTCTCGGCGCTGTGGAGATGCTCTAATTTTTACTATAACCTTGCGAAGCTTTAAATTTAATAAATTAAACAATTAGCAATTATAAAATTGGTATTTTTGCAATAATATTTATTACCTTATATATAGCATCTTTCAAATTATCATCATTATCTTCGGATACTTCAAAGGTATTTTCATCTTCATATGATATTTTATTAGTCACATAAAGATGATCTATTAATTTTTTTGCGCCTAAATTTATAACATGTGCAAGGCATCGGACGCGATGATTATTTGGATCAAATATTATATTTTGTAATTTTAAAGACT